ACAGGTATATGTTTTGTTTTCTCTTAACTTTTAAATCTCGATTTGCTCTGAATAGTTTTTATTATTTTAATGTATACGAGCATATAAAATGTGTACACAACAATGAACAATTAACGGGTCTGCTAGATTATCTCTGAACATTCGAATAGTTGCGTTGAGTATATTTTTTTAATTAAGATGTTATAAAAGCGGTTGTATGGTCCACTTTTACCACAAAATTTCCTTCTGTGTGATTTATCAGGTTATTCACATACTTCATAAATCACTTTCTTTGTACGGAAATTTGCGTTTCCAAAAATTATTTTTCACGATGGATAGATATGTGGAACAGTGAAATAAACTAGTATATATATATATATATAAAACAAACAAAATTTTCTCTTTATATATATATATAGATGTAACTTGAGACGTGGTCATTGTCGTCTAGACCAGTTAGGTAAAAAATTAAAGCTTCCGCTATATATATATATATATTTGGATATCAACTTCGTGTTCCATTGCAACAAATATTTGAAGGGATTCTGGATTTATAAAATACGTTTTAATTTTCTGTAGTAAACTGCAGTTGGATAATGGGTTTATCGATGTACTTGTTGTGTTGCGAAATAAATCTCCGCCTATGTGTATGAATATTTTATCTTTAACGGCACCAAATTATTGTTTTTCTTGTATATCTCTATAATTTTAATATAATACCGAGTACTTCTGCCTTAGGCGTACTGTTATTAATCCAAGCCATCAAACCTGACCCATGAGCTTCAAAGACAAATGAAGTAACATTGAAACAAAAAATGAGTGTTTCTTGATACCAGGTTACCGCAAACGTCATTAGTACAATATCACAGCCTATATTTCGTAAGGCATACATTACTATATCGTTAATAACTTATTATAACAAATGAACAACCGAAAGTTCACTTTTTCATCCAGATATTTCTCAATTAAAAAAAGACAATTTTTTGTTACTATTCCTCGTAAGAATGTGAACCCGGACATGAAATGTTTTAAGGGGATATCGTGACTGACGAATCGAAACCTTTTTTTATACACTAATTTCGATCTAAGTAATGATCGACCCAGGGACAGAACCAAATTTTGAAATACCTATCGCACGATAAATACTTGAAGCACGCAATGTGTAGGAGATAATTATTGGGATACATGGAAAAAAGAAATGTTACTATACGCACATGACAGGAGAATACGGGTATATAACCGAGTGATTCTCAAATATCTTCAAAATATGTAGATACTTTTTTTCAAATGTCCGCTTTTGGAAGTCGCACAACACATTTGTCAGAGATGCTGCAATATTTTTATTATCGAGGAGAAGTTTATATACAAGAAACCAATTTTCTGACCAGAAATTGCTTTCCATATCCAGATTTTTTTCTCTCAATTTCTCCCAATATCCTACTATTCCGTGCTGTCCATAGGTAGGTGGCAATAAAATCACTACAACATTCTTATTAACAGAAAGAGATGTGTCCTCAACGAATCAATAATGTCTTTGAATGGAAAAACATACCGATGCTATTCGAACGAGTATAACAATGCATTGATACGATTATTTCAAAGCCAAATGCACATTTTTATGTGCATTCTGGCTGTCGTTTGCAGAGTCGCACACTGATTTGAAATTTTTTCCAATACCAGACGTTCTTGGACAGATGCAATATCCACTGCGGCTTTGCGATGTAGACAATAGTGGCATTGTTCGAAAAAAATCGCTATTTAAATTGGTCGCGATATAGTATATTGCAGAGGGATGTAGAATAGGTTTATGTAAGCTTAAAGAGGTCATTTGTGCAGCTTGGTTACATCAACCTAAAGCTTTCTAGTGGTTCTGAAAGTACAGACGACAAAGAATTATTTGCAAAAGATGGATATTCAGACAAGGTGTCTTCTAGAGAGTGTGCTCTATAATTCATTGAAATTGACTCAAATAATGGATAATTTTGTAAAAAAAGATACTGTAAAAAAACTATAGGCTACCCATTTTACACAAGTCTCTTCCACTCAGATGTATCTGGAACTAGCTGAACATACTTGAGTCTGCTTAGATGCCCTTGGAAATCCTTGACTCCGCTTAGATTTTCTCTTTTTTCTTTTTCTTTCCACCGGGTAGAATCGTAAGATCTACTGAAAAATCAGTAGAATTAGCAACTAACAAGACAACCTAGGATCTCCATCTTGTGGGATAGAAAATCTGTTTAGATTGCCATGGATGTCCTTCCACTGGGATAGAAAGTCTCCTAGAATCTCCATGAGCACCCCGTCGTAAAGGAGCTAAAGATACATTTAGTTTTTCAGAAAGTTATACTACTAAATGCACTAGACCATTATGTCAGGAGCAAACTCGATTCATTTCAAAAATCTCATAAGTCATACAATTTTAATTTTTCAAGAGACAATTAACTTGTATATTGACAAACAATACCAATTCCAAAGAACTTTTTGGCTTAATATATGATTTGAGTCTTAAAAGATTGTTAATAACCTGCACAGTCTATTGATAATAATGGAAACAGCTCGAAAAACGTAGGCGTTGTATTTGCTCACTGTTTTTATTTTTTTCGTGTTATAGTCATTAATTTGTTTTTTATAGTTGAACTAAGGAATGTTTGTTATCCCTCGAGACGTGTTTTGTGTGTCATGCGATAGCCTTGAAGCAGGTGGAAACATAAATGCCGGAAAGGTTGGGAATTTGAAAAAAACTTTTTTTCCCCTATTTATACCAAGAATCTGAAGAAATTAAAAGTACACATCCTCGCTACAACAAAACGAACCATCTTATGCGCGATGCCCAGATAATCAGGCTACGGTATCGGCGATATGTCAATTAAATGACGATAAACTTCGAACGAGCTGGGCCGATGTTCGGTCTTCGGTAACGAGAATATAATTGCGTTTAAAAATCATCATAGCAAATTACCTATAATCAATTTGTTATAAATGATCGACCACGGTGGAAAAAAGCACCGGCCTGTTCCACTCGGCAATTTAAAGCTCATCATTATTTACCTAATTATCGGACGGTGTTTTAATGGCATTAAGACGGGAAAAATCTGAAGATGGGGACCTGAGATTTATATCGAGATGCAGGCCTGGACGGGTCCATATGTTGTCACAGATTACAAAAGACAAAAAGAATATGCATAGCTTGCAACTACATCTGATAAATATGCTACGTAATAATCAAGTGGAATAACATAGCAATCTTCTGTGATGTGAGTTATTGGACTACACAGTCGACAAAGTTCGCAAGAACACACACAATATCAGAATCGCACTGGCAATAAAATTAAGTCGTGCAGTTTCAAGGGCGGGCAAATCTTGGTTTCTGTCACCTGAACCAATAGTGATATATCATATAAAACTCTTTTTCATGTAGAATGAGCAATACCATGGCAACCGTCCTAGTGACGCTCTCCCTCTTCACTCCTTTTTTCATACTTCTTTTGTCAAACAATTAACCTGTGTGGGGCTCCGTCAACTGAACGTTCGCCAAGCATACCACCAAGGTGTAGTAGAAGTATAGATTATTAAACATCTATGCTTCCGACAAAAAGCCACTCGACTATTTTTTTCTGAAAGTTTTTTCGAAGGAATGCTATTTTCACCTCTCAGGCCAGGCACGGGACACTTGACCGTTGACTTAGCTTTGGCTGTCGGAATCTCACAATGATTCAAAGGTTGAACGGGTGCCAGGGAATTCTGTTCATTAAAATTGTTGCGTTGATTGCTTTTGTTGCGCGCGAAGTATCTTTTCCAATTCGGCTCATTAATTTCAAACTATAAATTCTCTTAAATGACACTTAGATCTTATAAATATATGCCTGTATGCATTTTGAATGCACGCGTTTTTATGTCTGGATTTTTTTTCGTTCATTTTGTCTGTGTGTGCGATGTGCATATGTCTCATTATCTTACGATCCATACGGTTGGTTTTGTATTTATATCTTCGTTATTTTGGCATAAAATGTCTACGGATGTAAATTATAACTATCTGATGCTGTCTTCTGAAAAATCGATAGCGAAATTCGAAAAATAAACACCACAGATAAAATTTTATTTAACGAGAGTCTATACACAATTTTCACCTCCATGGTTTTAACATCGTCAGATTGTATAACAACAGATCAGCGGTAACATCAAAACTTATCCTGTGCCGTAAAAAAAAACAGGTACCTTGGCTTGAGTTTTTACTTACGTTTCTGCCACCTCGGTGGCCCTTTTCAAGTATAGCAGTGGCAAAAACAAACGAACTCTCAATTGGAAGACTTACGTGTATGCATAAAATATATTTTCACTTTCACTTTTTGTACTTTTGTTAATGGCCCGAGGTAGTCGAGACGTCTATAAAAACTCAAGCCTACCTAAGTTTCTTCAAAGTAGAAAGTAATGTTATGATTTTGATGAAGTTTCGACATAGTATTACTATATGCGAGAAAGCTTCGAAGGTCCAGTGGCGGCGGAGTTATGAGCAAAAAAACTGAAACTTTGATAGCCTTCGATGATTTTTGAGTTTCCCATCATTTTGTTGTGTATGAAATAAAAGACATTTAGGCGTAAAAAATTTGAAATAATAAAACTTGGTGTTTCAAAGTTTCTTAACTTTCTGGTCATTTCAGTGTTTATAGTTAAAAACAATTTTAGGGAACGGAAAATTTTAAAAACAGACATATCCTAAATTTCTCCCGTCACCAATAAGACTCATATAGTTCTTGAAGCTAGAATATTAAATAGATTCATATCAATATATGGAAGTCAACCTCCACCAATCTACTTATCTATTTAGTTATTTTCTTTTATTCACCGTTTACTTCATAATTATATTGTTTCTTTACATGTGAGTTCTAAAGAAACGAAGCGCTTATTTTTTTTTTATTGAATTGTTACATGTGTGTTACGAGTTTTATAACTTTTTCTTATTTTTCCATTTTATTTTATGTTCACGATTGAAACTTTACGAGTATTATTGTTATTATTTACAGACAATTTTTCGTCAACAGGCAAATCGGAATCGGGCATGCCTCCATTCACAGGAAGTGACCTGACCGAGGAACGTTTAGCCCACATTCTCAACGAGGCCAACCAATTTCAACAGATCAAACAACAGCCTCTACAACATGAAGACAGTCGCAGTAACGAAGACTCCAAGTCCCCCCATGGCTGTGGAAGCCCCTTCTCGAGGGACTCATCGCTCAACAAGAAGTTGAAGAAGTACGAAAATGATGACATTCCCCAGGAAAAAGTAGTGAGGATCTACCAAGAGGAGTTGGCCAAGCTGATGAGTAGGAGAATTGAAGATATGCGCAACCAGAGAGAAGGAGCTGGACCCTTTCCTGGGTAAGTTGGACATCCTTTAACAACTGCATAAGCAAGTTTGCTTCTAAATACTGAGCATGTGCTGAGATAACAACTATTGTTTATGTTCACTGGACCTTGTTGTCCTTGTAGTCACCTTGTAGTCGGTGAAAATATGGCTTCTTCCAACGTGAAAAAATCGAAAGGGCATGTTTTAGTTTCAGTTTCTTGCTTTGAGCTTAGGGCAGTGCTAAACTAATATACAGTATCTTCTTGCCGCACCTGTTTAGCGCTGGCGGAGGTCAGCAAATGGACAGGACTCAGGAGGACATTCGGATAGCACTGGATGCATACCATAGGGAACTGGCCAAATTGAATCAAGGTCAAAATCCAACACAAATGCCTCTTAGCCTGTTAGCCATGCAACAACAGGCTTTAGCCCATCATCACCAGCAACAACAACAGCAGCAACAGCAGAACAATGGAGGAGTCCAGGACCTCTCCATACCAAAGGTCAGTAGTCAGTATTATGTTATTTTATGATCCTCAAGTTAGCACTAGCAAATGCACTGGGAATGGTTCCAAATAACATGCAAAATAACGTTGTATCAATGACGAGGCAAATTGATAGTGTGATGTTGCTAAATTTCAAGACAACTGTGTCGAATTTTAATGTCTCTTAACCTGTACATTACAATATATTTTTAGGACAAAATGAAGATGATGAATGGAATCATGGACGACAAAGAAAAAGATGAGGACACGATGTCGAGACACTCAGGTTCTGCTTTCAGCTTGGTCCGACCAAAGATCGAACCTGGCTCCCAACAGGCCCCTTCCTCAACTGCGTCCAGTCCTCTAGGAAACTCCATCCTCCCTCCGATGACCCCCACGGATGATTTTTCCGGATCCGCAGCTGCCTCGCCTCTTCAGAGGATGGCCAGCATCACAAATTCGTTGATATCACAACCGCCATCACAACCGCATCACACCTCGAACAACAGGCCGCTCAAGGCCGTCTTGCCACCCATCACACAGCAACAGTTTGACATCTACAATAACCTCAATACGGAGGATATCGTCAAGAAAGTGAGTAGTTTTGACAACATAAATTGGATCCTCCGACCAGCTCCCGATAATCTATTACTACTTTACTATTGGCCTTTTTTCATTTCTTCTTCTTTTTACGTCGAACACGTCGAACTGAATACACTCGCGAAGTATCTGTAGCATCTTGAAGACACCCGTAGCAAACTAATACCAAGCCAACAAGTTTAATATCGTTGTAGGAATGTGATTTTCGGTTTTTTCTAGTCTGATTTTTAATCAAACAGCGCCTAGGTTGGATACTAACGCATGCCGTATCTTTTCACCTGATCCGTCGCCGGAAATAAGGCCAGATATCGTCAATTTTTTAATTACCTAATATCATGTAGGTTGCCTTGAAACTTCGACGTATTTGCTACTAGGAAAATTTGCTTATTTGAAAAAACTATATCCCTGTACTTGAAGGTTCTAACTTTAAGAGAATCATGTGTTGCATTGTAACATAACTGGAATAATTCATGTGACTAAACAAGTGATTCTTTCTTTCCTTTATGTTACAAAGAGTGTTGCTTACAAACAATTAAATTTCTAGGTAAAAGAACAACTGAGTCAATACTCAATCAGCCAAAGACTGTTCGGAGAAAGTGTGCTCGGGTTAAGCCAGGGGTCAGTCAGTGATCTCCTAGCCAGGCCGAAACCTTGGCACATGCTCACACAAAAGGGAAGGGAGCCCTTTATCAGGATGAAGATGTTCCTTGAAGATGAGCAGGCAGTCCATAAGCTGGTGGCCAGTCAGTACAAAATCGCTCCCGAAAAGTTAATGAGGACTGGAGGTTACGGTGGAAGTGAGTGTACCCAGATTAAATATTTTTTAAATGTCTCAAGAAAGAATGTTTTGACACGGTTTTGCAGTTAAACATTCATTCCTAGTTCATGTCCCTCATATTTGATGATACATTTCCTATTTATATTGAGGAGGAGCAGACTTGTACGATCTGATATCTGATAATCACTATTACCGCAGGCACTTCTGTCATAACATTTTTGAAATGATAAGTGAAACGCTTCGAGTATTTTGTACTTCTCATTCTTTTGAGGCATAATGTTTACCTTGTGAAACTGCCTTCTATAGACAACAATTCGGTATTTCTAACATATCAAGATGGAGTATCTAACTCAAATCTTCCTTGTAGGTTGCGCGGGAATGAGCAAACCTATGCCTCCTGCTACAAGCAAAATGATCTCCGAAGCCGCAGGCTTGCTAAACAAGATACAACATGATGCCCAACAAACGATTCTGCCACCTTCGTTGCAGTTGGGACCACCCCCACAAGCGCCTGGTAACCCTCAACCACCGCCCCCGCCTATGATGCTCACTCCTCCAGGATTGGGTGGACATCATCCCATGAACCTCCACACGGTAAGAACTTATGAGAAATACAGTCTTACTACTCGTATTAGATAACTTAATCACCTCAGCGACAAGACTTGATCTGCGAGTCGACATCCGCCCCTGCTTTACAAAAGCAAGCCTCGTGGACGGGAGCATCGAGCAAATGTTAGCCATGGCCTTTGTGTTACACTTTAGAGTAGTTGTACAGTGTTAGTAGTCTTCCATTTGTTCAGCCATGTATTTAAATTTTACCAGCCACTTTCATTCCTTCTAGAATTCCGAGATGCTGAAGAAGGCTTCCCAATCCCCCCACGGTATCCCCCACTCCCCCATGAGTCAGCAACATGCGGCCTCCCTCAGGAACATGCATCAACACATGTCACCAAGCGTCTATGAGATGGCAGCATTGACGCAAGATCTCGACACTCAAGTCATCACAACCAAAATCAAAGAAGCTTTATTGGCTAACAACATTGGACAAAAGGTGAGTATGTGTGTCCTCATAACACGCACAATCCTAAGAAAGTTCAGCAGACTTTTAAACTGCCATGAAAACAGAATTGAAGAGAAAAAACTATGCCTTAAGGCTCATAGAAGCCATACACTTCTTTGAAGCTGATCAGTATTCATCGAAAAATCATACTTTCAAAATACACGTTACATCCAATGATTTAATTTCAGATATTTGGCGAAGCAGTTCTAGGTCTATCACAAGGTTCAGTAAGTGAACTTCTTTCAAAACCTAAACCATGGCATATGCTGAGTATAAAAGGTCGTGAACCTTTTATCAGGATGCAACTTTGGTTGAATGATGCTCACAACGTTGACCGTCTTCAAGCGTTGAAAAACGAGAGAAGAGAGGCCAATAAAAGACGAAGGTATTGTATTAACCTATAGTTATAATGGTATAAACATATTCCTCTAGAAAAAGATTTAAATGATTTTAATGGTAGCACGGCGAATAATATCATGTTGAGTATCAAACAGTAAAGTTATCATATGTTTAAAAAAAACCGTAGCGTTTTCTAGTTTTAATAATCTATTTGTTTTGCAGATCCTCTGGCCCTGGAGCCCATGACAACAGCAGTGACACGTCGTCGAACGACACATCAGAATTCTACCACTCAAATTCCCCTGGACCTGGACCCCCGGCTGGAAAGAAACAGAGAGTGTTATTTAGCGAAGAACAGAAGGAAGCTCTCAGACTAGCTTTTGCTTTGGACCCCTATCCCAATGTAGCAACTATCGAATTTCTTGCAGGAGAATTGGGACTGTCTTCCAGGACTATCACGAACTGGTTTCACAACCATCGAATGAGGCTGAAACAACAGGTTGGTACCTTGTTCTGTGAACCCATATACAAACACATGGTGAAGGATCTGTATACAATTTCCTGTCTTATTTTAAAAATATGGTGAAAGGTGACAGGGTATTCTTATACCTTTAAAAATATGGTGAAAGAGAGGATATTCTCAACATGAACAAATTTCATTTTTAATAGCTGAAATAGATTATTGCCATCTAGCTTTAAAGGATTGTCCAGCTTTTCGTTTTCGTATTTGAGTATTGTATATTGATATAAATACTCTGTATTTTATTCTGGATACCGATAGAACTTGACCATGCATTTCATATCAACGCCAAGGAATGAAAGTCATGTTCATCACATCGGCCGAAATCCATGGAAAAAGTAGACAATTTCGCGCAAAAACTATTTCGTCACAGAACTTTAGCTTTTACGCGGAATTTTACGTTCAATCTTTCGGGGCAAAGCTTTACTACTAATCACACACAGTAGAACTTGAAATGCCCAAAGGATACTTATTAGAAGCAAATTACTCATATTCTTTAAAAAAAATGGCGTCAGGTAGATTGATTCTGCACTCCCCATATAACATGGTCATAGTTCATAAAGGATTATTATCGCCACAAGTTAGGGCCCTCTGAAAAAACAGTTAGCTACTAACATTATAACAAATAAACGGATCAAATCGGTTAAACAGGCGATTCATTAGTTCATAGAAATTTAGCAAGATATCTACCTCGACCACACTTCACCACTCGCCTCAGCCACTCGTCAGCCTCGGTAGCTTAGCAATTACGGCACGACACTGCGCCGCCGGTGTACCCAGAGATCAGAGACTCGTGTTGAAAGTATTTCTTGATCATTTTAGGTTCTAACGGCAAATATAGATAAAACGTACGTTCAGTTTCCGGGAATGTAAGCGCATAAACATACTTACACAAAATAATTGAGACATAGAGCCCCCACCCCCTGAAACATCGAAAAACTAGCTTTGAGCGCTTTTTCAAAAACAACAATGCTTTTTCTTCCTTGGTATAGTAAGCCTTTTGTGAAGATTTCATCAAAATATTAGCGGTACTTTCCAAGTTATAGACTGGCTGAGGATTAGCGGACAGACATACAGACCGACGGAACTGTGTGACATGGTTTTTCGTGATGTAAACGTCATATAACGTCCATTTTCGAAATTTTTCGCGATTACAATGCTTCCTCGCCAGTGGTGGCTAGGTAAGAATGGAAAATGCACCTCATTAGATGTAGTAACTCTTTTACAGTATTGGGTTGCTTGTTTTTAAGACAAAAAACGAATGCTTTAAACTTATTTATTTTATTTCTTTAATTCTAGGTTCCGCACGGCATGCCCCCGAATCCAGACCTGCCAAGCCGTGAGCAATCTGGCAACACCGCAGGCAACGGCGCGGGAGGTACAGGTCAGCCCTTCGATCCCGTCCAGTTCAGGTTGCTGCTCAACCAGAGGCTGTTGGAGCTGTCCAAGGAACGGTTGGGCCTGGCAGCCGCAGTTCCAGGCGTTCCGCTGCCCTACCCGCCCTATTTGGCGACAGCGGCCGCAGCCAATACTTCCAATCTTGCCGCCCTTATCAGTAGGGGGTTGCTGCCTACCGGCGCCGATGTCGATCTCTCTGCCCTCAATAATGCTGTCAAAGGTAAGTGTAGTGTAATCTCTGGTTTGAACAAGTTAGGATAATCAGCCAGGATGGCAGCATTCAAGCTCGACACTTGCATTTTTTATCAGGAAAAGTCTAATGTTCCTGGGCTATACCGAATTCAACTCCCGAGCACATGTACCTATGTCAGGAACTGGGAGAGCCTAAGGACGTCCTGTGGCATCCCATACAGATCTGTTGGGACGTCCTAACGTCACAGTTTTGTAAAGCCTAGAAATACCGTTGATATGTCTTTGGAATACGTGAGTAGGATGTTTTTTAGACCGTCGACTAAATTTAAAAGAGTCCATAAATAAGTAGCGGCACGAATATTTTTTAGTGATGTGTATTTCGTGAACAAACTAGTTCACAGGAACGATTCTTATGACTGAACTAAGTAAACTAGTTCATCATTCCTTGGAAAAGTCGGTTACGCGGAGCATTTAAATTTGAAACATCCATCCTAAAAAATGATCCAGAAAACCCGAAACAAAAAATTACATATATAAACATACATATATGTTGAAAAAAATTGTTTAAACAAAGATCTGTATATTAAATGCCTGAAAACTTGGTTAAAAATTAATAATTTTTGAGTCCGCCAAATATCTAAATTAAAGTTAAAGACTTGCACCACAATACCCCGGGGGGTATTTTAGGATTAGTTTATTTTACAGGAATTTTTTACCTTGTTTGTTAAGACAAAACTTGCGAACTTTTGACTTTCGCAGACTTTATGTCCTAAACATTTACCTACTTCCGATCAGCATCCCGATGGGGTCAACCTAGGAATGTACCAAGTACGTCCTAAACATGTACTTCTGATAATTGTCCTGATATCGATATCGTAAGAATATCCGTTTCATGTAATGCCGAGAGTGACAGAAGAATCCGAGAATACCACTGCTCAAGCAGTAAAAAATAATATACTTCAACTGACTAATATTGTTATAAAACTTTTTTTTTGTTGTTGCAGAGCAAATGAGTGGTTTGGACCTTTCGATGACCTCCCTTAAACGGGAACCCGGCGATTTCGACGACGACGATGACGTCGAAAGCAACGTGGGTTCGGAAGACTCGAATATTTCCAACGGTAGTGGTAGCGAAGTAAAACCTGAACCTAAGGAGATACCTGCTTGCAACCAAGCGAGGTAAATATAATAATGCACAATCCAAACCTGTCGTAGCACTACTTTATTCTAACTTACCATACCATATAGCCGGTGCAAATTATTCCTCTTCAAAAACCAGCACATCTCATCGTTTAGGATCTTCTTAAAAATAATTGCTACTGCGTAGTATGTTGAAAGCTTAATAGTATTTTTTTTTTCAAGGTCATCAAGACGGAAACCAGCGGCTCCTCAATGGGTGAATCCCAACTGGGAGGAGGAAAAAGAAAAACCTGCACCTGCAGGAGATGAGGTTATCATCAATGGTGTTTGTGTGATGCAAACTGCGGAAGATTATGCTAGGCACAATCCTGAAGAAACGGTAAGTTTGAAAATCCCTCTTAAATCTACCTTTCTCCATTATTTTTGGTAATGACGAGTGGGGTCCAACAAGAACATCATATATGTGCAATACAAAAATCCTATGCAACTAAATGAACTGATTGTTTTGGCGAGGAAGTATTGTGGTAGCGAGAAAAATCAAAAATGAAATATGTTTTTATAAATGTTACTTGACAATTACAACATACGAAAAACGGTGTCACTCATTTCTGTAGGTTTGCCTGTCTGTCTGGCATTGATCTATCTATAACTTGGAAAGTACTAATCGAAATCTTGACACAAGGTTGCAACTATGCTAAGGATGAAAAAACTTTGTAGTTTTTGTGAATCAATACAGTGGCAGCAAAGCTACGTTTAATATGTTGGTTGTTAGCAAATGCGGAAGAAGTTAAACGGCTCAGTAACAACGGATATATTCAACACACTAAATAAATACAAATTGAATTAACGATATTTGTTAGCGCGATGTGGCGCGCGCGGGGATCAACACGAAACTGGTTGACGGTTAGAATAAGCACAAATAGGAGGTAAACCAAGTCATCCGCTGCCACTAGCGGTTTACTCATCTCAATTCTGATCGCAGGATTGTTATTGCTTGTCAAGTAAGTGGCTGATCGCAACTCTGCTATTGCCTGAGAACTAGTTGTATGGGATTATTAGACTGATTTAATCAATTCCACTGTTATACATGTTCGTGATTAACTTTTTTCTGAAAGAGGCAAACTTCTTCTTTTCAACCTTCTTGACGCCGTGTTTTTATTTCAGGTCCACGTGGAGCCGCAGGCGGTCATGGATCGTTTCGAGGATGACCAAAGCGACACATCCTCCATCAGTAACGACCAAAACGAAAAATCGGAAGACAAATGCACTGAAGAACCGGAGGAAGCCAACGAAGAAACAGAACCAAAGCCCGAAGACACCGAAAACAAAGTCATCAAACAAGAAAATGAAGAAGAACGGTGGGAGTATTAAAGTATTGTTTTCTAGTTGTTCATAGTTAGTGCTAATTCGGACTATGCCCACCGCACTTGGATATCCCAAGGACTTGTTTCAAGCCTGCAGTCTTAGTGCGGTTCATTTGTTTGTTGTAAAGTAAATCAAGTGCAATCACTAAATCGAAGTCTCCACGATGATGTTAAGAAAGAATATTTATTGAATGATTGTGATTTTTAGGTACGTAGGTTGAAAACGGCTCGTCTAAAAAGGGCTAGGTTTTGCTATTGCTCTGTTTCGGTTTTATATTTTTTGTTGAACTGTAACAGACCGATGATTTAAATATGACTCAGTTGATACGTAATATGTTGTATGGAGTTCGAAGTACACACAATAACCAACATAAGTTAGAAAACTCTTCGATTCCAAAAGTAGGTGATGAAATTCGTTTTAATTGGGTCATATTTTGCTAGCGTTCTGTGAGAATGTAAAGTTCTTGCCAATTTTTGATAATTTTTCATACATACACGTCACATTGGCATCATTTTTGTTCATTTTTATTTGTATTTATGTAGAGTTATAAATAAGACTGTTACCGTTATTATATTATATAATGTTTAGCTCCGATTTGGAGCTAGAGAAGCAAAGAAAAATGTTTTAAACATTTTGTGATATACACTGTAATTTTTTCATTTTTTATTGATATGGATATTGTGCTTTCCATTGTTTTATTATTTATATGAAACGGCCAAAAATGCGACATTCTTTTACGCTACTATGATTTATAGTAGCATGATTTTTTATAAAAAAAAATTTGAGGGTGGTTCCACGGCCCGTTGCGTCAAGTTGTATGGATTAAATTAATACAAAACATAGAATCAAACACCATACGTATGACCCTTTGAAAATATAACCTACCTCAGATTAAAGAAACAAAGTATTTAACGTTTTAATGCCGGCCCTGGTGCCTCCCAAAATTCAGATAAGGAAGACTTTCATAGATGGCGGTTAACCATTCGGAATTCAATATTTAAAAAGAAAATAATGAACAATATGACTGGTCAATAGCCGTTGCAGGTCAATGTAAATGGTCGTTCATCAGATACGGTTTTCATCTAAAGAAAAATTAATTCTGATTGGTTAGCGGATATGTTCAATTAACAGTTCCTTGATCGTTTATGAAATCTATCCTAAATATGTAATTGTTTCATAAAATTAGCAGCCTTCCAAAGTTTTTGTACATATAATATTTAGTTTATACCTTTTTACCTGCAAGCATTAATAGTTTCGAAGTTCTTTGCAGATATACTGTTTTGTCTAGTCTTTCCAAATGGGCATAAGAATTGTTGAGCGTGCCAAAGGGAAATTATCATAAGTGGGATATGATTTTGAGTTATCTGTTACAAAGAATTAAAGCACTGTTAAGGCAACGATTTCAGTACAAAATGCAGCGTTAAGTTAGTTCAATCCATATCGATTTTTTATTTCGTTTTTTTTTGCCACGATCTGCTGAGGGTATTTTCCACTTTGGCTCACTTAAAATATTCTTCTAAAAGGCCAGTACTGACCTGATACACTTTTCCCACGTACTAAATTCAAATTTTTTGATAAGAATGTCTTACTTCTAACAAATGTCGTATCAGAATCAAAACTACAAAACTCTTCATTTGTATCTAGTAAGTCATTCTGGAAAAAATCGGTTTTCAGATCTCTTAATTGAAAAAATCTTTTAAGTAGCTTTAATTTCCAAAATATATTTAGAAGTAATATTACAAAATGCATATCGTTAATATTAAGTACTTTCATGAAGCAAAATAAAAGAATCCACCCATAGAATGAATTTAATGAGAATATATGCCATAGTTTATCCTGTTTTTCTTTCCCGTCTGAATTACACTGGTCAAGAACAACTGTGAACATCCCTAATTTTTCATTATTTCCGTCTGTGGAAATGTTAGTAACTATCTTTATTATTCCTTACTGCTTTACAACATTTTCTGTTCTTTCATGTTCAGGTTATACAATATTTCCGAATAAATCTCACATTCATGTTTCTTAAAACTATTTCTTTGATTTTAATGTCCTCGGAGCATAATCGTCCGAAGCTGGGGTGAAACAGAGTGTTGTTCATCAGTGTACATAGCACCTGGATAAAGTGTTATTTAAAAAAATTACGTGCAATATTTTAAGCGTTCTAAATATATATTTTTTGCGATATACAAAATGTATTTCTTCCAAAAAAAGAATGTATTCAATGTAATAACATTGTAAAAATTAAAGATACGTAAATTTGTCTTAAAAATAAAACAAGGCATAATTTTAGCAAAAAATGTATTATAATGCACATTTCTAATTAAATAAATGCATGTAGTTATATAGCATAGATTTTTTTTGCTGTAGACGGAATATCGATGAAATTTTTGTTATTAAAATAAATTTTCTTTGCCGCCAATGAGATACGTAATTGTGGTTTTCGTTATAAATACCAAGACATGCTATGGTACAAGAAAATTTGTTTTACTTTTATTATATTTTATATTAAATAGACCACCCCAAGAACAACGGCTTAGGAAGATCCTAGATCTATTTTATTCCTTTTTTACTGTAAATATTTATATCATATCATCCTTCGAAAATTTCTAAATTAAAATTTTCTCTGTATTTAACACGTTATTTTATTCACAACCTATCAATATTGTGTCTTGACAACAGTCAAGTAAAATTGATGGTAAGATGCAGTCTGCACTATAAGGTACCTTCCAGTGTCATAACCTTATCGTATGCTCAAAAAAAAAACTCAAAAAGCATAACCATTCTCACAACTATCACTCGCTAGTTTTGTAATACTACTAATACTATGCAGATCTATGGACGCGAACCTTTAGACATTCAGTCAACAAGCCTCTTTATAGGAGACAACATCGCTGCCCCACCGGAAAGAATATTCAGGCGAGTGGGGAAAATATTATAGTGACTCCTGTAGAACCTCTTCTACACACTATTGCTAAAATATAAAAGGAAATTTAGACAGTACCATGGTTCCACAATATTAAAGTTCCCACAGAGATTGGGACATGGATGCTACCCATCGTTTCTGGCCATCATTAGTAAAGTGAAGTCTGCCTTATGTGATCAACGTGATGTGCAATGTTACACTATTTTTAAAAGAGCATTGAATAGGCTAGTTTTTAAGATCATTCGCGAAAATGTATTTTTTTTTTTAGCATACCACGCTCGTTTTCAATGCAATGAATACTCGGTTGTCTCAACCAACTATTAATGGAAGCCCAGGAAAAAACTCATAAGTTAGAAGTTCTTAATAGCCATAAGAGGCAAAAAGGAGCAAAAAGTAGTGATTTTTTGAAATAATCTGAAAGTGGCAATATCTTGAAAACTAGAAAACTTTTACTAAGGTCATGTTGATTTTATATGATTGATCTGAAGCCAATCCACCTCACGTGTCACTCACTTTGGCGGGTTATTTCTGGGACACCCTGTATATGTTCACATTACATTGTTACCGAAATTGTGTTATTTTAGTGCAAACTTTGGCTCATTTGTCTACCATTGCCTACCAAAGAGACAATACAAAAAATCTGCGTAAATTTTTTTCTCTGGGGAGGTTTCCAAGTAGCCAATCGCACTGGGTGTACTCATGTTTAGCAGGCCAACAACACCATGTGTTGAGATGTGAATCGCTGTGATTGTTAATAAACGGGGATAAATAAAACAAGGCAAAAAAATGAAAGCAAATTTTTATTAATGGTATAACACATGAAGAATTATACTTAATTCGTGATTTCGGAAGGTAAAAAATAACAAACATTGTCACCATCAAAGAACAACAATGGCCGAATACCTGATACTGGAAATAGTGGCATACCTTAGTAAATGTTACTCCGTTTTTCGAAATAGCTATGACACGAGCAGATTTTTGCTAAAAGCCTGGTTGAAATTATTGCTATTATATAATGTTCACTATATTTATCCAATAGAAATGTTTGGGGGTAATTTATTGATATCCATAGTTTTTTGGGGCCTACTGAGCTACCTCACTAGAATCTCGTTCCAATAGAAGGTGAACGTAAAGTACTATTTATAAGAGAAAGACCTCTCTAAAAACTCATAGATTCAAAATGAAAGTAGATAAGATTCAATGTTAAAATGTCTGGTGGGCATTTTTAGTATCCATCCCAAAGGATCCGTTAATATCCATTTTTGAATGTTGTTGTTTGGTATACAATCATGTTGAGCAACCTTATATTTGGACTGAGCACTCAAAAAAACAAGAAGTGGACAGAAATAAATCAAAATTTCATCACAGCTATCCACGTAAAAGCTCAACCTTGCGGTTCATACCCTTTCGCAACGCCGATTACAATATTATTAACACTTATCCATTATGTTTAAACGGCTTTTTGCATTCCAAAGAAACCTTTACCATTTTCGAGAATAGTCTGGAACACCAGGACTGTATGGAGAACCCACGCATGTTCATGTTTCCACAGAAAAACACAAATTGTGTGTGAAATGTCATCATCAGTTACTGTTAAACTGACGAACAGATCATAGACTTGCTCCTTTTATCTAGTCATGAGAGACCCCTTGACGAGGTTTTGTGACCCCTGTATTTTCCTTTTATACATCTTACAATATTTTTCTTTTTTACACATCTTAAATACGCCTTTATGAATAATTATATCAAATACTCCATATATATCCTTGGAGCAGAACCTTGCTTTATTTTGGTTGTAATATCAAAAATATTACGATTTGTCTATCTCTCAAAAACGGAAAGAGATACAACAAAAATACCTTATTCAAAAATTGTAGAAAATACAATTATCTATAAAAGTCGTTGAAGTACTTTTATTCCTTGTGACACCATTTATGAGATTTACTGATCTGTGGCTTCTTAGTACTCTTCTGCTCTTATGAGGCATACATTTTTTGCACGCCTTCGATCGTTCGATATAAATGTTACTGTGAAGTCCGAAATCCGGTGATTGTCGAGATCGACCAGAGTCTGTCGACATTTACCAAGTTGCTCGGCGTATATACGAATTATTGGTTGATATCATTATTTCTGACACACACTGGTGAATGTCAACATCCACCATACGATTTTGGTGTATGTTGAAGTAAAAGCAAGACTCTTATATTATTAGGTAGGTATATTTCGGTAAAAGGAGGTCAATCCGTTAACCACATATTGTTTGGGTGAAAATAATAGGACCTTCATTTGGCCATTTTTCCACTTAGTGCATAGTTCATATATGACTCGATTACTGAACTCTCTACCATTATACGAATGCAATGTGGCGAGAGCACCAAATGTTAAAAAAAAATTGAAGAACATGATATGCGATTTCTACCGCTCTCTTGACTGTCAAACTTTGACAAATGATCTTGATATACCATTATAAATTTTACAAATTGCAAATCTATTAAGTCACAGTGACATCCAGAGTTCAAATCCGTAGGTTTCACAACAATACCTTTTTTAGGTGCACTATGTTTCATTTGACACTGTTTACACAAGTTTAAATACAACATTACAACTTCTTACGTAATATTTTTGTATTTTACTTGTAATTCTTTAAGCATACGTATTCTACCCCCATGGCCTGTTCTTATGTGAATTTCGTAAAGTATATCAAACCACTCTGCATTTGTAACAATACTGGACATTAATTTCTCCTGGTTTTAATGGCGTAATTAACTTTTCATCATCACTAACTTTTAATATGTCAAAACGTTTTAAACGCCTGTAGTCCAGAGGCGTCCTGCACTTACTTTTAGCAGAATTCAGTTCAAACACGCTTTTAGGGTACCTTTCTTGAGAAAAATAAAAACAATTGTCATCTTGTTTACTTTCATGTAGGGCCGAAAAGCCATTTACAACAGGTCATTTTCCACATTCACCGCGACCCATTTGTGTTTGTCGCATACACCGGTGATTCTCCGAAACTATAATATTTATAAAAGTTCGGTCTTTCACCAAGCCATTTGATGTATGTCGACACTCACCGTTGAATGTCTACATTCACTAATTTCGGACTTTCACAGCAAACATATATGCGGAAGCTATTGATGTATGCGACTTATACAGAAATACATATCTTTCATGCAGGGTGTGTCAAAGAAAGTATCAACGATTCTTCTAAAAATTAATTCATCGAGTAATGAAAGTTTGGTATACAGAGCAATTGAACGCGAAATGCTGGAAAACTCAAAAAAGAAGGTAATATAGTATTGATCCTTTCCATTCAAACCCATCCTGGCCTGCTTAAGGTGCGCCCAAAATAAACGAAAGGGAAGCCGTATTTTTAGAAAAAGATCGTACCCGTGTTATTGAAATAAATATATCAAACGTCCCCATCGATCCTTGGAGCGCAAAATTTTCTACTGGGGGTTACATTTTAAAATTACCATTTTTATATATTTCTCTGGAACCGTACGAGTAACCACAAAAATAGCTTACACTAAGATATGACTTGACCTTGACCAATTTCTTTTTTGTAAGTCGCTCTGTGCGTTCTGACAATTATAAGATCTAAGCTACCGTTTTTGAAATGGTATGCGGATTAATTAAGGAGGTACGTATTTTGATGTTCATTCATGTCGCCCTGAACATGGCATTGACTGGTTTGCGAAATATTTTTCAAACCTCGTAAGTTGAACGTGCTACGAAAAAAACCGTGTATTCTCTTTCGCATCTACTAGATGTAGAAACAGGACCAATATGAACGAATTTTAATACCTCACTTTTCTTCGCTGTATGCTTCACTGAAATGACTCTTAACATTTTTCTGACATTAAGTAACATTTTTACGTAATACCCCTGCGGGACCGCAAGCAAACTATCGTATCGTTTCTCATTCGATTATTTTTGTTGCCGTCGCTAGGTTCCCGTTAATTGAAAAAATAGACAAAACTCAACATCTATATTCATGTTTTATTAACATTTTGTGTACAACTTTCACTTTTTTACATTTTACGTACATTTTTAAACTAGATAATGCTGTTTCGAGAATAAACTTACATGTAGTTTGAACTTACAGACAGATAGATCCAACATTTACAAGTTTATGGTATATATATTTATAGAAACTATGAAGTTCATATTCAACGAATAACATTCGAAACGTGAAAGATATAAATTTCTGCCTTGTCTGCACAGGGTGTGACAGATTTGAGAATACCACTGAGTATGTGTCAGTTCGAAGGCGTGCATTATTGACATGATAGAGAACAATGGGTTATTCTCCTAAGGGACATTATTTCTCTTTCAAAGGAACTGTGAAACTTACTTGAATTTGTGAAGGCAGCATTTAACTACTTTCTACATCTATTTCACATATGTTCTAGAATATTGTATAACAAGAAGACTCCCACCCTGTTAAAGACTTATACAAACTCTTCGAAAAAAATCAGTAAACAAATTAACAATATTCGAAAAAGGAAATTAACAAAAAAAAGTAGGTACATAGAAATTCTCGCTGTATTTGTATCTTTAACATTCATAATAAGTTAAATTGACTCAATCTGAAACGTGACTATCTACTATAGTGACATTGGAACATTGAAAATTCAGTATTTTCCGTTAAACAATGTTATTTTATTATCCATTTTTTTTTTAATTTATTTGGATACCTAATTTTGCTTAGATAAGAAAGTATAATCATAACCTGTCAAAATATGTAGGTATTATAGACGATTACCTAATCAATGTTTACCCAAAATAATACCATCATTTAGTTACATTTCAAACAAGACAAATGTTTCAAATAAAACAGGAAACAACTGTCGTACATTGATCAATGAAATGTTGATTTAACTGAAAACATTTAAATCAAATAGAAGATGGCATAACAGTGGGAAAACGATGTCCACATTATGGCCATGTCCAGTACAGTGAGGTGCTTCTTTAGTCAACACAGTGGTTGAGATAGAATTGAAAGCGTTTTTCAATAACTTTGTTAATCACATAATACATAGGGTCGTTTTTTGGATTGCTATTATGCCAAATCCACTCTTTCATGTCCAAACAAAAAAAGCTGCGGTAGACTTTCAGCTAGCGGTAGGCTCTCAGCTATGATAATATTGACAGGTCATGATATAATCAGTTTCTCGGTGCATTTCGCTGGAAAACACGATTGCTATTGTTTACTACTGTTGAAATGTTGTCCCTTGTCATCTACCTCCGAGAAAAACAACCCCCATATTTGTCACTAGATCAGCATTGTCCATCGAAAACTCATAGTATATTCGGGACAAATGGCCATTAAAACTAAAGCAATGCAGATCATTAACGGAGGTAGATTCTCTCTTGTGTGATCGACAGAATTTATCCTCTACAACTAACAGTAGTATTGAACGATTGGCGTAAAAGTAGAACAAGTCTGTTGTGCCTCCAAAAATGGCAACAATTCGTAAGTCGGAATGTAGATCCATCAATTCCGATCTAGTATTCTGTGCGACATCCTCTCAGATGCTTACTATTTCTTCCATCCTAACAACGAAACATCCAAACATTCGAGCCATTTTGGCAGCCAAAGTTGTAAGCATCCCTGCTCAGCAGTGATGGGCGTTTACGCGTATACATTGACTGTCTACGTTTCGATGTAGACAATGCGTGGACAATGTATATACAATGCAAACAATACGTATACAATGCATACAATGTTTAGAATAGCAATAATTGAGATTAAATTTACTCGCAAACGTCAAAACATCAGTAAACCGGCAACTATTGAAGCAACACGGTTTGGCGCGCTACAAATAAATTAACTGGGCTATTTTGTTCAAAGATGGAAGAAAAGATCCCATGCTGTATCTGTTAAAAAATGTTGTCAATTCAGCGATCGCTTAAAATCGTAATTTTTGTATCTTTATATGAGGCTATGGACGAGATATTTTATTGATTCATATTTGCTCAATGTAAGCAAAAATCGAAACGTTTAGTAAGATGTAGTGAGAAAGCATGAGTATTACACCTCAATTGACCAATAACAGCCTTGCTAATCTAAATATTAGTGATGCTAATGATGATGAATGAAATTAATCAAGTGGGTGTTTCTGTTTCCAGGATGCATTTTATTTTAGAAATGTTCCTAATTAACTTAAAACTATAACTTTGTACATGAATATGAAGACCTATACAATTACAATTGTATACGCATATAAAATGATGTATTTTACATGATGCGCCCCTCACTGCTTTGTAGGTGTTATACGACTTCTCGTATAGCCCAACGAAAAAGTAGTTTATAAAACAACTGGCGCAGAGGCTGCACACACCTTTTCCGCAAAAAAAAGAATACTTAAAATATACAAATCTCTTCCTAGATTTGCTAATACCCAGTAGTCCAAAGGCCAAGTCGCAAGCATCTTGTGTAACTTCGGGCTGAAATGCAGCCTTTGCCCCAATTTCCTCTCAAGTTCCTTTTTTTCTTTGGGCTAATTAGTCTAGACATATAATACGTTTCTCCAAACTTTTGTTAAATATACTTACGATATACGTATATTGTCTGAATGTTCCCGAAAACTAACAAACGCTCCTAAATCTAATACAGCTTTTAAAAAATTCTAATTTTTGCCGAAATGTCTCGTCCTTGTTTAACGAGATAAAATACCTTCGTCGTTTGCCCAGGCAGAAGTGAATTTACAGTTGAGAAAGATATGAACTTTTTATTATGAAACTCTCCATTTACGTGTTTCTGATTAGCAAGAACGCACTTTGCAAGTGGGTGAAAGGATTGAAACATAGACTGACAGGACCCAGATGCGAATTATTATTTTAAGTCATTCTTAATTTAAAAAGTTTGCTCACATATTATACACTGAATTTACTGAATGTCATTTTTTATGGAACAAATTACTCTTGAATGACTGCAGAAATAATCGAAAACGTAATCAGCAAATATAATTTCTATAGCAAGAAAAATATACAAAACACATATTCAATATAAATTTACTTCTGCACTAGAGAAGAACCAATAGAAACGTTACCAACTACTCTTGTAAGGGATGAATCGGATTCGCGGAAAAATAATGAAACCGCGTGTATGATTAAAATGTTGTCGTAAAATAAAACAAAGACGTATAAAACAAAATTTATTTAAAACATAAGCCAACATAATCACAAAAATAAAATCAAAAATCTTGCTTTCATTATTTTTCCCATGCTTCTACTATTACTTGGAACCTTTTTGCAGGGCGATTGTGAGTGTAGCACAATGAATACCAATGTATTACCCGACAGACCGATGACAACAGACTGACAGAAATTGGTAGAGGGAAAGGTGGTAATATGGACACTGCATGTAATATGAGCCCCCATGTGTCTAAACTATGGCACGCAGCCTAGCGGCAGGAATGCAAACTTGTGGATCTGGTTTGTATCTTGGTCGTCTAGCTCAGTTTTGATATGATTGTAGCCCGCAAAAGGTGGTTTTCGTTTTTTTTTTGTCTGGAAAAGGTAAGTATTTTCTTTCATATATGACTGATTTATCATGCAGAGTTGTTTTAATGTTAGGGGATATCCATCGACAAGGTTTAAGGATTGCAAAACCCGAATTATAGGATTGATTTGTTTTACAGAATGGCATATGGCATATGGGCCCCTTGTGTGCTTGTTATATGGACTCTCATTTTCAAGTGGCTCATATTCAGTCCCTTGCCATATTATTAGACTCATGCTGCAAATCTACTTTTACTTTATATTTCTTGTTGTTATTATGAACTTTTTGCAGATATGTTGATAGAACTTGAGTTCGCTTTTATCGTTTTGGCAACACTGATCATGTTGGTAATCGATTGCTCACATCGATTGTCACGAAAAAGACATATAACCTAAAAAACAGAGTTTCAGTTTCACAGTGCAATTCAACAATTTAAAGTCTGTCAATAGCGTTAACTCTTTTCCATTTCATCAGGTGAGTTTATTGTTGACAAAACAACATGTCAAAGTATATATTTACACGTTTTGAGGCCATATTATGATAAAAAACAATTTCAGAATGGGAAAACTGTCTGATTTGTCGCCAATAAAAGTTGGCCGAATTTCCGGCATGCTGGAAGCACGAAACATGTCACAATACCAAATAGCGCGAATTGTTGAAGTTTCTCAAAGTTCTGTAAAACGAATTAAACAAAAAATAGACCTCGGTGAAAATCTGAGAGCCAAACGTAAAGGTGCGTGCGGTCGTCGGAGAATCACGACAGAGAGAAGTGACCGAAAAATTCGCAATATTCGTGTTGAAAATCGAAAACTGCCGATAAAAATTCTTACAAAAAAAGTTCTTGAAGCCGGCATTGAAGTTTCGCAAAGAACAGTGCAGCGGAGGTTAGCAGAAGAGGGTCTTATTGGACGTAGACCAGCACGCAAACCAAGACTTACACCTGCTATGATATCAAAGCGATACCAATGGACACGAAAATACAAGGATTTCACGACTGATAACTGGAAGAACGTAAATAAATGCTGTATAACTATATTCAAGTCGTTCTTGTACTGTAGATATTGTTTAATCTAAATTCTATGACGTTTTTCAGGTATGTTTTTCGGACGAGTCGATTTTCCAAGTATTGGTCGACAAATCGCAGTTTGTACGGCGAAGGACAAATGAGAAATATAAGCCAGAATGCATTGTGCCGACCATTAAATATCCTCCTTCGGTAATGGTATGGTCAATTATCAGTTATAAGGGACAAGGGGCCTTATACGTTGTCGATGGTACAATGAATGCCGAAAAATATCAGGAAGTTTTGGAAACCCAGCTGCTCCCTCAAGTGAAAAAATTGTTCAACAAACGAGAAAAGTCAATTTTTATGCATGATGGTGCGCCTTGCCATCGTGCACAAAAAAATTACAAAATTTTTAGCTGAACAAAAAGTAGATATTCTCCAGGAAATTCGCCTGACATGAGCCCCATCGTGAACGTCTGGGGGTTTTTGAAATCTGAGGTTACGATGAAAGCCCCTACAACCAAGCAAGAGTTGATCAATATACTTAATGACACTTGGAAACATAACCCAGAGCTCAAAATAAAAATTCAAAACTGTATAAGGAGTATGCCACGTCGCGTTGAAGCTGTGTTGGCTGCGAAAGGTGGTCATACAAAATACTGATTTTTGCAAAAAAATGTATTTTCATGTAAATTTCTAGTTTTCTGTGACATTTGTTGTATTTATAATAAATTTTGATGTTTCATCATGGATAAGCTTTGTAAATGTCTACTGGCGTGTTATAAGCCAGGAAAATTCATTTTTAAGTATGAGTCCAATAATATGGTAAGGGACTGTATATACACTACGTTATGTTTTCTTGGGTGTTGCAGATGCCAAGAAAAGTACTTGACTGAAAGAAATCTTGCAAAACAAGTAAACTATAGAGCGAGATTAACGAAGCAGTTGCTATTATGGCCGTGAGAAAGCATTTAAAGTACCTCGCGCAACTCTCCGAAGACTCTCACGGATGAATTCATCACCAAATAGAGCTGCGGTAACTAAATTATATCTCAAACCTATTATTCAGGAGAATCTGGAAAAAGAACTAGTTGAGTACCTGCTTATTATGGAAAGCAAATTTCATGGCTTTAATAGATGAGATGTCCGTCGAATTCTCTATGAGTTGTGTCAAAGGAAAGGAATAAGACATCTATTCAAAGAAGGGCTTGCTGGTAGAGCTTGGTTCGACCATTTTATGAGCCGTCGTAAGACTCATAAGAATGTATTGCCTCTGCTGAAACTCACTGCTACAGCATTTCCTAGAGATAATGGATTTGACAGAGACGCTGTGAACGGATTCTTCGATCTGTTAAGAGTTCGAAAAATATAAATATCCTGCACATAGGGGACAACGGGGACAAAACTGAAATTTCCGTTGTTTAGTCGAACATTCCACGAGTCAAAGGAAAAAACAAATAGAAGCGTTAAGTTCGGCTGAAAGGGAACATTTATTCCACCACTTTGGGTCTTCTCTCGAAAAAATATGACCAACACATTTGTTCACATAAATGGTTTAAGCATTTTATTGAAAAGACAAAGCCCGTTAAGGAAGGTCCTGTACTTTTAGTCCTTGATGGCCACCACTCACATACGAAAAATATTAAAGGTATTCACCAGGTTCTAAGATCCAAAAAAGTGCGAAAGGTTTAGAAGCAGGACCTTCTAGTACCTTTGAATCTAATTCTTCAAATAATAGACAGAAAATAGCAAACGTCTCTCCAGAAGATATGTGCCCGGTGCCCGAGCCAAATAAAAAAATATCAAATAAAGGACCAAAGCCAGCATTAATAACCTCTTCACCATATAAAGATATTCTGGAATTGAAACAAGAAGGCCAAGAGCGGCAACATACGTAAAAGAAAAAAGGAAAGCTTGAAGAAGCATAATAACTGATAAAAAGAATAAAAACACCTAAAAAACTAAGAGATATAAGAAAACTTAAACTTGACGTCTCCGAACTAACTGACTCAGACGACATCGAGTCAACTGATTCAGGAAAATCGGATGTGGAGATGGAAATTGGTGATGAATCTCCTGAAGATGATGACGCCGTTTGCATCATCTGTGAATCACGCTTTTCTGAAAGCAAACGAGCCGAGCTGTGCCTTATTTGTGAAATGTGGGCACACAATGATTGCCCAGGATGTGGAAAGGACAATTATGTCTGCGATTTTGGTCGACAACCTAAATTATAAGACGTGTAACAATAAGATGTTTGTCCTCAAATAAAACTATTTGTGTTTCATTTGAAACATTTTTTTTACTTATATTACCAACACAAATCTTTGAATTGACTAAATCTAATATATGTGCACAAGTATAATTAGTCCAAGTGAGCAACTTATTAGACTATATTATATTGTAAAAAACTAATCGGGGGCTCATAATACCACCTTTACCTATAACATTTTACCGGATCTTCGCGATTACAATACGCGTCTAACGATATATGCAAAATGTTTCTTGTAGCTCTTTTATAGACTTATTTGACTTCTCTGCACTAGCCTGATAAGCTACTGATATATACTGTGCTATCTCACACGTCCGAAAATAGGCCTTCGAATGGCCCTGGAAACCTTTATTCGTCCACCAATTTAAAAAAAAACCTGGTAACTACAATGCAGTAAAAAATTTATTCAACAATGTAATAGGACTCATAAATGCACCGCACTTATAAATTAATAAATAAAAGTTTGCTATTAAACCACACATCTCCGCCTATGTTTTGATGCTTAAAAATACTGGGTTTTGTAAACGTCTATGTGGAAGGAAACACCTCTAGTACACTGGCATTAGAGGTACAACTGGCTTTTAGTGGAACTAATCAATTATTCAGATAATATCAAAAACCTAGTTGCTTGAAAAGCTCCTTAAAAATCTTTAGCCGTCGCTTTATGACCAGGCGCCTCGAAATACTAGCCTTAATATAGACATCTGCAATGTTTTCCATTTTCTGACTCAGTAATACCGACGCACCAATACATATTTTATTTGAACACTTCAGAAATATTTCATCATAAAAATGATGATGTGCATCAGCCTATTTGAAATTTGACATGATGAATGTAAATGCAATCTGATTAAAGTGTTGGTATATTGGGTTGCCGAATACGCAGTTAACTCTTTCAAGGGCGATGGTATATAAAATAAACCACCTCAAAGCATGCTTTAATGAGGCGGTGGTACATATTTAGCACCACTGCTAAAAATTTCATTTACAGAGCGAGCAGCGGTTCATTCCATGAACCACCGCTCAAAGTAAGTTGTTCACGTGTCTATAAAAGAGCGCATGCACCGACAATAGCGCGGGAGTTCGGAATACCGCATGCAAAAGCAAATTAAGGTTATGATTCATTAGTCCAGAATATATACCAGCTGTGAGTGGAGAAACACTAAAAAAGTAAGTAACATTGTATGATTTCGATGTAATTATCTTATTAAAGTTGTTTTGTTATGATTTTATCCTATATTTATTTGAAAAAAAACCTCTATCGTTTTATATTTACTGGTACTCAATGCGTACCACCGCACACATTACGTTTTTATTTTACACCCTATTTTTTTTTTATTTTCAGACTTACAACATGTCTGACTTGCCATTTAAACTAGTCGATATGACGGAAGGTGAATTATACGCCGAACTCGAAAACATTTATTCAGAAATGGAACAAAGTCGTATAAACGGTGAAGAAATTCCATCTGATTGTGAATCGTTAGCCAGTAGCAGAGACGACCAAGAAAGTGATACAGAAACTACTATTAGAAGCAACGTGTTGATATGTTCATATAGTGACTCAGAAGATGATATACCTTTGTCAACTATCGCTGGAAAACTGCAGCTAGCTTCATCTGCCTCATCAGTTGGAAGAAAGTCTCCAGTTTGGTCTAATGTGAAAACTCCTACACCACCTCCACATTTTACTGCGCATTCTGGTCTAGCCGATTGTGTAACGAATATGACAGATCCAACACCGTACAAATTATTTCAATCATTTTTTTCTGACTCCTTGATAGAAAGTATTGTTTTTGAAACGAACCTGTATGCTCAACAACAGTTCAGCAAGCATAAACCAACTGATGTTCGTGAAATTAAAACGTTTTTGGGGTTAAATTTACTTATGGGCATAAAGCGCCTTCCAAGTTATAGGGACCATTGGTCTCGCGCGCCAGATCTACATGACTCTTATGTCAGTAATCTAATGTCGGTAAAGCGATTTAGTTGGTTGCTTGGAAATATTCACTTGAATGACAATTCATTGATGGCAAAAAAAGGCGAAGCCAATTACGACAAGCTGTACAAAGTAAGGCCATTGTTGAACCGTATGTCAGAGGCATTTGGAAAATGTATGCTGCCAAGTCGTGAAGTTGCCATAGATGAATCCATGATAAAATTCAAAGGGAGAAGTTCTCTCAAACAATATATGCCAAAAAAACCTACTAAAAGGGGATACAAAGTGTGGATGCTGGCTGATAAAAATGGGTACTGTCTAAAATTTGATATTTATACAGGAAAACCTAGTGGTGATGTCGAGAAAAACTTGGGCTCAAGAATTGTGAAACAGCTATGCGAGGGTCTCGAAAATAAAAATCACTTGGTCTATTTTGACAATTTTTTCAACGGAGTCGAGCTAATGGAAGATCTAAAAAATATGCAGATACATGCCTGTGGTACTGTTAATTCTTCTAGGCGGAATATTCCGAAGTTCAAATCAGATAAGAACATGAAAAGAGGTGATATCGAGTGGTTTACAAGCAATAGTGATTTGTCTGTTATTAAATGGAAGGACAAGCGTTCCATTTTTGTCCTGTCTAACTTCCATGACCCACGTGATACTCTTGAAGTGAACCGAAAAGAAAAGAATGGATCAATTACCAAAGTGCCTTGTCCAAAAGCCCTTTCTGATTACAATGCCAATATGAATTTTGTCGACAAGTTCGACCAAAATCTTACTTCCTACAAAATAGATCGAAAAAGCCATAAATGGTGGCATCGCATTTTCTTTTTTTTCCTGGATGCTGCTGTTGTTAATGCATTTGTATTATATAAGGAGTTACAGCTACCCACACTTTCTATGAAAGATTTCCGAAGAAGTATAATACAAGGTCTTGTTGTACAACAACTGGTAGATAGAAAAAGATCTTCTTTGTCAACATTTGAAACTGTTGCCATAAAAAAAAAAAACCATATGTTTCTGAAGAAATTCGATTTGAAGGTTCATCTCATCAACCTGAACGCGGTACTCGACGTCGGTGTGCTTACTGTAGCACTAAAAAAAAACAAGTAAGAACGGACTGGGTATGCAGCGTTTGCAATGTGCCTCTTTGTTTAAATAAAAATAAAACCTGTTTCCAGGACTTTCACAGAAATAAATAGGAATAGGGCGGTGGTACATATATAGCACCACTTATTTTTTGCCAAATATATGAAAAATTACATGTAAAAATAAAAAATATGAAAAGCTTTGAGTATTATTTATATCCTCAAATAGCATTTTATGTGAAAAACAAGTAATAAAAAAAATTTTTTTTTGTGCCCAAATGGAGAATAAATTTTATAAAATAGTTTGCCCCTGAAAGAGTTAACCATGATGAAGTGTAGACCTGACAATCTCTGTTGTCATTTTACATTACGAGCCGTTTTACATACAAGAGAATTACTCCGAAAATTATGGTCATAATTATGCCGAAAATTTTTGCTGTCGTATTACACGTAAAAGAATTCTTGTGAAAATTTTCATGGTAAAAATATAAAACCCGTTCTATATTATATGCGCGAGAATCGGCGCAGAGGGTTATTTCCGTGCATGTCAATATCAAATGTCAACGACAACAACAACAACATAACCTCACTTAACATTTGTGGGAGTGGCCCTGTTCGAGTCGTACGAAGGAGCGTTTATTGTTATTGTTTATTCATAATGTCGTGGAATCGGGAAGAATTTACAATGTTGTTGGAGGAGTACCAAAGATGGCCAAACCTGTACAAGGCGAAGTCACCCAATTACAAAAACAGAAATTTGCGGCGTCAGGCGCTGGATGCGATAGTCCAAGCATTGAGAAGTTTTATAATATTAACCAAGATCTCGATTTCAAAAATAAATTTAAATTATCGACGTCTGTTGTCTTGGACGTCATACCCGTTAAGGTTATGTCCATTTGAAAATATAACTCTAATGCGCAGGCGTATCATATGAATTACTCCGAAATTTTGTTTGCTTGTGTCATACAGGTTGTAGAGAAAATCTTCAATATTTTTTCCATGCAAATTTTGACCATAATTTTCGGAGTAATTCTCTTGTGTGTAAAACGGCTCTACCTCAATAACGTTTCTCAGATTGTCACTTAACCTTCAAAATTTCATGTCAAATTTCATATCTTCTCTTGAGGATCCCAAAAACTGGCGAAACATACAATTTGTACTGTATGCCGCTTCGCTCTTATTAATCATGTTTTCGTTTGATGAATCAACACTCTGCACTAGTTCATCCTTAATTTGCCCACAAAAGAACCCAAAACTTTCTCTATTTCATATATCTGTCAATGCACAATTTTCTTTCATGTATTTGTCATTTTTCTATGATGTTATCGTCAATTTTAGTAGAAGAGCAAACCATGCCAAAAAATTGGACTCAAACTGATTGTAAAGCGTGGTTGCCATCAAAACTACAAGTAAAAGCTGTAAAATGTGACAATGTTGACAGTTGACAACTCCCGAGCTCTGCCAGGTCTTGAGGTATTATGCACCGAGTTCAGAGTACGGATCAAGGGAACATGGTGAAATACACTGGTTTGATCATAGGAGCATGAAATATGCACCAGCGTAACACTAGTTTCACCAAAAGATTACCTATAAGATTACAGGGTGACAAAAAGATCGACAGACAATGGACATTTTTTGACAAGATCGTAAGAAAGATTCCATCGCAGCAAAAAATGATATTTATCATTAGAAGAAACATGACCGGTACTTTCAATATAACCACAAGTCTAGTTTTTATGGATCCTGGTCACCTGAAACGAGTTTAAGGAAAGCTTTCTGCAACCAATTTTGGAGAAATAGCTCATTAAGGAGTATTTCCTACATTATTCTTTAACATCAGTGTACTACTCCACAATAACGCCCTACTGAAGTTAGTTCGGACAGGTCCGAAGGTCTGTCAGGTGTTGCTTAGTTGGACTTGAAAATTGAATTCAACTAGATACCGGTGTGTTGCTCTGGTTGGATTAAGTTTGGCTATTTAATCAGAGTCCGCCCGCATTCCTCGCACTTCGCCTTTCTGCCTCAACGCTTCCAGTTCCTCTTTTGTTTTATCCTCTATGGCTCTGATGTCGTCCATCGTCAGGCCGTGCCAGCGGTCCATCCAACAAAATACTTGCCTGGAAAAATAAAATATGATTGCCACCAAGCACAAATATTCTTTCAATGTTCGAAAAATCCTTGTATGCCCTTACGGCTTCAATATGACATTGTTCAAAGGTTCTCTTCCATTTGAGCGAAGGCCAGGATTAAGGCAAAAAGGTCTCTTTATAAAAAGATCTAAAGGTGCACGTTCACTGAGGAGAAGCGAAAATAATGAGCGAGAACCTCTTCAGCTGGGTTCCGTTACGGATAATCAAGTGTCAGCTCGCACAATGAAGCCGCGTGAAGAGAAACAACAAACAACGAGCCACGTTTTACACATGCAAATAACAAATGCCCTCATGGTTCCATTCGCGTTCCTCCCCCTCAATGTGCGTTTAAGTTAACGGGTCAAAGCGATCAACATTTGTGGGGCGCTCACGCCTCATCTGGGAGATATATGTTATTTCCGTATTAGCCTGCTGCTCAATTGGTACAAGCCCGGTACCAGTTTTAGTATAAGAACAGAACATTTAGCGTTTTCATGTTATACGCGGTAAAAAGTGGATTAAAGTAGACTGACCTAGTAGTCCATTCAACGGTCATTAGGTGGAAAAATATTATAAATACATGATTTCACATTTTTGAGCATTTAAAGCGCCCAGAAGTGGCCAGAAGTTCAGAAATGCAGGAAAATGGAGTATACCGACATCGGGGATATTGTGCTATTTTTGCGTTTTACTCTCACTGCCTCACGGCGGATAAACCGCCATATTAATAATCTTTTCCGACAACCAGGCTGCGATGAAAGCACTAAGTGCCTGCACGATTACTTTGAGCCTTGTATTGCAATGCAGGGAGGCTCTGGATAGTTTAGCAGCGAGGCATCCGGTACCGTTAATGTGGGTACCGGGGCCCGCTAGGATAAAGGGTATTCATATGGCGGACGCTCTTGCGAAAGCAGAATCAATGGGCAAGCTTGTTGGTCTTGAGCCAGTCCTAAGAGTCAGGTTGATAACGGAGAAGTGGAACGCTAGACCACACTCTCTGAAGTGGAAAAGTATCTCTAGACACCTCCGTCAGGCACGGGAGGTCATCTCAGGGTCTAGTGTTAAGGATGGAGGCTTTGGCTCATCTTTGGATAGAGTTAACCTAAGGTTATTGGTGAGAATGCGGTCTAGCACTTGCATGTTTGTGATCTCAGACTTTATTGTGATCCAACACATTGAATCCCCAGAATGTTAAGGAGCTGGGACTCAGGGCTAAACTCGACTTCGCTAGAAGGGCGAACCTAGAAACTTTAGGAAGGTAGTGGTACATAAGGACCGGTTATATGGGTTATGCGCCGGCTGCTCGCGGTGGCCGGTATGCCTATAATTTCATTTATTCATTCATTAATCCACCGCAAGTGGAAAAATGTTAGAAATACTTGGTTTCACATTTCTGAGCACTTGAGGCACCCCGAAGTGACATGAAAGTTCAGAAATTTCGGAAATGGGGATTTACAGAGATCAAGGCTATTCTGTGATTTTTTGTCTTTCCATCACAACTCCGCAGCCGCTGGATGTGTTTTCATAATCTACAAAGTATAATAATACTCATGTTTCACAGTTTCATCAAAATCCGAGCAACACACCTTCCGAGTAGAAAGAAGATGAGAATAACCTAAAATGAGCATACAATATGGTGTTTCGTGATATATAATTCAGCTCCATAAAAAACACCATTTCTGGATTTAGAATGTTTCACCATTGAGGGTCTTGTGTTTCTAGCTTACTCAATGCATTATGATCGATGATTTTAGATTTAAGGAGTATGCCTTTATGGAAACGTCAAGAAAAAAAATAGTAAGTTATGAAGAAATGTTTAAAAATGAGTACCCTAAAAAATAATAAGTAGAAATGAGTCCGTGGTCACCCTGCTCGGTACTCAAATCATGCAGAATCTTGTCCATTAAAGGATTTGCTGTGTAGTACGTAGCGCCGCCCTGCTCGTCATGTCCATATCGTTTAACTCAGGCCAAAGAAATCATTGATGGCCTCATTATAATTATTTTCGACAAGCATAGACCAATGATGCCACCGGCTCAGAATCTGCACCAAGCAGCCTTTTTTGTGGATGTATTGCAACATGAGTCGCATATCGATGCCAATAATCCGCATTCTGTTCAGATCCACGTCACTGTGCAAAGCATAGCGGAGATTCGAACGACGGAATATTCCATTCATAATGACATACATGGACCTGTTAAATACAAAAATAATATGATTCATACCTCTGCCATTTGCACTTACCTATGGAAATTTGTAAAAAGCCGCCTTTCTGACTTCTGAATAAAATTCTCTATCCTCGTCTGGAAGAAAACAGTTTATTCATGTAAGGTTCTTCAACAATATTTAAAATTATCTCACCTGCAGTCCAAACCACTTAAACTCTACGGTAACCAGCTTGTAGCAGGTCATCACAGGATTGACCTTATCCCGCCATTCGGGACCAATCAAAGGACCCCTTCCCGTTTTTGCAGACTTAAACTTCGTGGGATCCTCTTCCTCTTTATAGTCGCCTGCTGCCACCGCATCATTAGCGATGTCTATGAAAACCACGTCACGTTGCTTTAGTTTATCAGCGGGTAATTCGTGTACCTACAAAAACAAAAGAATTTTCAAAAGGCTGGGGGTCTTGAAAGTACTGCCGTGCATCCCGACATAACCAGTTTCTGTATTCTGCATTCTTGGTGACGTGTAGTGGTATGGTACGGCGTAAAGCACTTCGCCGCCATTTTTGATTTATTGCTTGCAGAGTTACGTCGGTTCTAGCATGTACACAGCAAACTGTATCGTAGTTAGGATAGAATTCCGAAAGACAAAATGATTGCCGACAGATCAAAGCTGGCATAATCATTCTGAGGATTTACCTATCATATCAAGCGTTACCAAGATATGATATGTCACGCAAGACCAGCATTCTACCTCTCTTGAAGTCAACATAATGTTAGAAAAGATCAGCTGCTTGTGAGGTCTGGTAGTGATAAAGAAATATATCTATAGCGACGGGGAGTTCGAAAGTAATTAATACGAGGTCTGTAAATTAAGTGATTAGTCTGGCAACGTAGCGTTCGATCTGGCAACACTGGAGGAACCGGGTTTGTAGGGGAAACAGGAAAATCTGCCTTCAGTACAAGTTTGAACTCACTCGAGTCCGTAGCGATTATCAGGAGGAAGAGAGTCGATTGAAGATGAAGCACGAAGCGGAATGCTTCCATCTTCAAGAACCGATTAAAATATCGACAGAATCCGGGATCATGTACGTTCAGATCTTCGGTTGACAACTGGGTGTTGCATCACGATAATGCTCCTTTTGTCACACAGCAATGTCAATACACAAGTTTTTGGCCAGGAGAAACATTCCTGTGGCTCCTCAGCCTCCTTATTCGCCTGACTTGAGTCCTTGTAATTTTTTTTTTCTTGCCGAAGTTGAAAAATAACCTCAAGGGAACTCATTTTGGGACAGTGGAAAACATTCAAACTGCTGTAACCGACCATCTGAAGGCTATTCCAGTATCGGAGTTCCAGTACTACTATGAGGAGTGGAAGAACCGTCTCCAGGGCTGTAAGGCATCAGAGTTATTTTGAGGGTGACAATATGAAACTGAAATTATGGTATATTTGAATAGAAAAATTAAAAAAAAAACATCCTGATCACGTAATTTACAGTCCTCGTAGGCTTCGATCTTTGTGCGCCTCGCATTTCCAGAACTCATCTCACGTGATGAAAATGTTTGTATACGAAACAAACGCCCAATAGGAAAAAAGCACTGTATCTATAACTAGAGAAAAAAGAGGAAAGCAAGGCCAAAGCATTAATTTCAAATCATGTTCAGAAAAAGAAAAGCAATTTGTCGATAAATTAAACAAAAAGCATAGAATATGCAGTGACATACTGTCCTAGTAACAAAGCATGATATTCATAATAAATAAATTTAATGTAACTAAGCGCAAGCACATTAGTTTGTGTTAAAAAATATGCGTCCTTCCTGGAAAAAAAACGTTCACACAACTCATCATAAAAAGACGTTTGTGTTGCTTTTAGTCGCACCTACTAGGCTATCCGATATCACACTTTAGAATCAGCGCAGAACTCGCTGGATTAGTCATACGTATCGTTTCTAGATGCTGGTAGTCATATTCCTCTACAAAACTATTGCTGCAGCATCTTGTAATAATTTCCATGAACTGAATTGTGCCTGTTATATTGACTTAAATAATAAAATGAGATGAAGTGACTAGTTACTTCCCATTAAATCTTACATGCCAGTACTATGACATACTTCAGATTTCCAGAAGATGCACAACTGATGTATCTTATCCCTAAACTGAACACGTGATGAAAGAACTCGACTTTTCCGAACTTCTTACTTATATACGCCATTAGTCGAATTGACCAATCAATAGATTGCGTTTATGTTACATCCTTTAATTTAGGTCACTTGTTTCAAGCGCCAAGTATCACTCGAAATATTAAAAATACTATAATTCGATCCACAGTATTGTTTACCGCACAACATACGATGCATGATACTGATAGCAAGCGCCGAAAGTTCCTAGTCATTCGGATGTTACTTCCGCAAAAGACGAAACTCCCACACAAAAAGGTCGGAAAACGGTCAGTCTACTACCTAATAATGTACTTTTTAATACTTGTAGGTCTACCAAGTCTCTGTCAAACGGGACAAAACTGCTGATAGTCTAAATAATGCAGGTGCTTACATTTATATGACTGCCATGTCAAGTTAGTAAAACAACAAAAAATCAAAAGTGTTATAAAAAACATCAAAATACAAATAAAAATTAATGAGAAACATGCATTACGTAAATGAAACTACAATATCATTGTGGAAAAACACCATTCATAATAAATATGCGTGACTACAAACTCCAAAAGTACATGCTATTAAATCAACGTAATCACAAACCTCCGCACACTACAAAATATTCGCTAAAACATCAAACGTCACCAACTGCACATACTAATTAGTGAATTCTGATAAGCTAAAAGCAAAGTACCAATGACATACAGCAATTGTACTTAAAAAAATTAGAAGGTGATTAGAATAGGTTGTAAAATGTATGTTGATATAAATGACAACTATCCTCATGTCGGACGCAAAGTCCGGAGCGCGGTCAAAATCACTGGTCAAAATGTTTATATTGAAAATTTTGCTTAAAGAAATTTTCTTGAATCTCGAAATTTAAGTTTTCTTTTAGTCTAACTTCGGAATACCTCGCAAAAGTACGAAGAAAGGTCGTCGGGTTGTATCATGATTATGCAATTTTGTCCATCATGTTTTCTTCAAGCAATAATTAAAAATAGAGATGCTTATTATTAACCAGAGAAAATGAGACGGATCAATTATCATAACCACAGAATAAATTTCAGAAATTATATTATGCAATCTTAGTGAGACGACAATGAAAGGCGTTTAGTGGAATAGAAACACAAGGAGAGTAAAACATCGACTTTTACAGGATTTTTCGACAACAGAAATTCACGAGGTACAGTCTGCGAAAATCAAAAGTTTGAAAATTTTTGGGTTCTTCTATTAAAAAATTCTATGACAACGTTACGTAACACGCGTGTGTCTGGCTGGTGCTTAAACTGCCCAAATTAGATGGAAAAAGACAGATTTAATAGAAAGGTAACCTATTTTGACATTAATGTCTGTTTATAACCTTAGTCATGACCTCCAACCGTACAAGCGCCATCTACTGCTAGCTTTCAACATTACCCTCCATTGATCACCTAATGCGTTAAACGTGTTTTGTACAGGCAATCAAGTCATTGTGACAAGTGATGTCAGTAGATTGACTAGCAGTGTTCTGATGAACTCGACCAATGTGAACAAGAACATACGTAATGGTCTAATAAAATGTGGCATAACCAGAGAATGATTAAGACTCGCTATAGTAAGCTCTCGATCACATTCAAGTAGCAACAAGCAATCTCAACTCCAAATAATTTACTTACATTATCCTGCTTTCCCCTATCAGCAATGTGCATACTTTCAATGCAGATAATGAAATTCTCCTTCATATAACCAGGATTCTAAGCGGTCGAAGTCAGATGTATGTATAAAGCGACCACACAGCACGTTTATTCCCCAAGATGACAGATGACATGAATGTACACAGGGAACACCCACCGATACCACACCACATAGAAAAGAAAAAGTATTTATGTTACTTACATTTTCTTGGTACCCTCTATCTGGTGCATGCATTGTTTCTATTACTAATCGAAATTTCTCTTTCATGTAGCCTGGATTCTGAAAACAGTATGATTAAAAGAAATGTTCATTCTGCAGTGATAAAAAACTATTCCATTTAATAGGAAGCACTAAAAGTAATAAATAAGGTCTGCTACAAATTTAGATCATCTTTTTAATAAACCGTACTCAAAAAGCAATGAAAAGTATGGCACTTTGCAGAACTTGTTCATAATTATTTTTGACACAAATTATCGAATCATTTCAGACAACATAAAAAACTATTATGAAATAAAAAAATGTTTTATAAAACTTGGTACGGCTAAAATTTGCATAGCTAATTCACTAAACGATAACGTTAATTTCATTTTGTTACCAAATTGTGGCAAACTCAAGTGTCATTCCTCTGATTAGGTATTATACTTCAGCTTATCCTAAAGTATAAGATAAATATAAATCTAATCTAGTTTTGAGATATTCTACATGATGATTTATACAATCAAATGAAGAGTGCTAGGGCAACTTAGAGTGCGGCAGGACATGTAAGTTGTTTATCACATTATGTCGGTTTTCCAATAAGACGTCAACTAACTAGCTGTCACTCACTTCATGGTCACTTGTAGCAACCGCGTAATGAACTATTTACACACTAGCCTAGTTAGTCAAGAAGTTGACATTTTATAGGTTGTTTTTTACATCATGTAGGTTTTTTATGTGATAACCCTGCCGATACGTCCTAAAACAAAAGTTGCAGAGACCTTCACGTGAATTTCCCGCTACGTGCTGAGCAAAGCCCGACTCGTTCTTTTATATTCTGTTATTGTAATGTTTCGTCTAACCGATGATATAAATAGGTGCGCCATTTGACAATAATTAGCATTTGGATATTGTACAGCGCTATTCAAAAAGCCCCACCCCCTACTTGTTTTTTTTTAACGTGTTAAGTCAGAAAGCTGAAATTCTGCGTAATGAAATAGATGGATAGTTATACCTGCTCATAACTCCAATTATCAAAACGCTATAGTATGATATATCAAGCTTCTTCTCTGTGAAGATTCTATTCGAATATGTATAAAATATGGAACATTCCAATAAAAACAATTATCCAAGTCTTTAAAACTGTTTTGAAAGCAAGGTCCAAACATGAATTGCACATTCAGATAGACCCTTCCAACACAAGAAAAATGACGTAACGTACTACAATACTTAGATGATTAAATGTTGAGTTATGTATAAGCCCAACTTTGACTGTCATTTAGCCATTTTGAAAGATAGTGATTTTACATTCCGAGGTTACAAACTCTTCATAAGGAGCTTTAAAATAAGGTATACATGCCCCCCATATCATTTGAATAAATCGCTTCAAGTAGGTTGATTCTGCACTTCCCACGCAACGCTGTGATCAGTTCATAAAATATAATATAATAAACGAGATTGGGGCGATTTTTATTTTTTCCGTTTTTGGGGACCGACAGACCGATGGAAAAATGAGTGACATGGTTTTCCATCATGTACCATATATCCAGAAATCATAATACATATCTCTTTTTCGATTTTTTTGAGATTTCAATACTTCCTCGCCAGTAGGCGTGGGAGATAACAATCTTACAAGATGGCGCCCAGCTGCCATCCTAAAATGTTCTATTTTTACGTTAAATTGTAGTATGCATGCGTCAATTTAATGACCCCGAATTTCAGCTCGCACTATCTGATGACATAAACGTTATTTAAAAAAATCGTGACATTGAAATTGAATTTTACTATCTGTAATATATTCGTATAAACAATGGATTAATGGTAGTGTTCTCTACTGCCATAAAGCTAAAAATACAGCTGTTTGGTTCTTAAAGCTTTAGAACAAAACTATAGATCCAATAACTTTCGCCAGGATTATATGGGGCACAAATGCTTTGCAAGGACGCAATTTATAATTTGATGTAATATAGGTTTCTTAGCTTGACAATTTGATGATATATGAGGTCACTTGCATTTCCATTTATATTGTGTTCCAACGTTTTTAAATGCCGGAGGGGTGGGATACAATTCGGTAATACTCAATATTTCGAAATGCCTGACAATTCTAAGCAAGTATCGTAAACATTAGAAAGCACGTCTCTATGTGCGCCTACCAGCGATACATGACGTTGTAGACCGACAAATCCTCTTAAGTTAACAGTGAAAATTCAGGGTACCCCATGGTTCCATTTCAGAAGCAACAAGCACATACCAGCAAATGAAAATGATTATGATATACATCATATACAAAAAATGAGATCTATTTGAGGTAGGATGAAGAAAATAAGATTACTTATAAGTATTAACAAATTGACGTCAAGTAAATTGACTGCGCTTTCCAAATAGGTTAGTAGCTCAGATTTAGTACGAAACGAGACAAATCCTAAGTTAAAGAACTCTTGTGAAAAAATATCTTATTTCCTAGGGGCGGAGCATAAATTTCCTATTTTACAATGACATCACATCACTGTATAATCTACTTGAAACTACCTTTTCAAAAAAAAAGTGTACAGAATTATTACATATTCACTTCCGAGGTTATTCAAAACATAAGTATCAGTCCACTCAGTCAACTCTTAGAATTTAATTATCTATAAAAAATCACAATAGAATACAGTCGCTTCACACATCTGCTCAACTTTAGTAGATTATATCTATTTATATTGATTTAATGTCTTGTTTCAATCAAAAATAAACGACGCGAAAATCATTTCGTTTCCGATATATCCATTCATTTTATAGTGCACAATGATTGGGAAGCTGTAAAAGAATATTATGCGAGCTATTTTTAGACACAAACGCGGGTCTAAAAATATTGCAATGTTCATCAAGCGTTAAGATTTTTGTTCAAACGCGGTGGTAATCCAGTCCCTCAGTTTATATATTTGTAAACGGGAACTCAAATAATAGCAGGTTCATTAAAATCTAACAAAAGAATAAAAACACGACACCTCAACAGTTTATCGTAAAACGATCATATCAGATAAAAAGATTTACGAGTATAATGCAAACATCAACACATCAGTATACAAACGTTAGTAGGTTTTGATGTTTTCCAATGGACCAACATTAATATCAAAAGTGTTTTTGATGTACTCAAAACTAAAATATGAATATGTAATAAAAATATGAAAAATATCCCTTTTAAAATGTCAAAATCTAAGGACTTCTTTCATCTTTATAACCTATAATAGGTAATGCCAGTTTTACCCCTGTCTGAAATAATTAAATCAAAAGAAGTCACAAAGTAGAAAGTTTTTATATCTTATTAAATATGATTTGTAGAAATAAGTTGCAATTAGTGTCATATTCTGATAAATATGGAATTCACCTTACAGCCAGATTGCCCTTTGTATTATGTAATATACAAAAGATACAAATTTTTCTCAAAATACTGATGCTTACATGTTCACCTCTCACTATTTTCGAGCCTGTATAAAGAAAAATAAACTTTGGATACAAAAAAAAACATCAGAAAGGGCGTATTCTGGCTCCGCATTATGTTTTAGCATATATCCAAACATATCCAACGTCATAATATTGATGAACACGTGGAATTAAATTTTTCATTTCCCAATAGACTGATTGAACAAGAGAAAGCAAATAGTATATAAGTTTCATAAAATCACCACTCAAGGCCTCTATAATGCTTGTTTTATTATTCTCATACATCACATACCGTAATGACAGTCCTACAGTATGGATAGGCATTCCATGCCTCTTCATGTATCTCGAGACTGCCCTTAGGGGCAAGCATCCGGATAAATGCTGGTACTTTGCTGGCCAAATGATAGATCTTGTACGTGTACTGGCCACTATTGAATTTCCCTCCCAGAAGGGGATAGTTGGTGAATGGTTCATTCTTCAACACCTCAATACCCTCCCCACCACCTGTGTTGTCCTTGGATGCTTCTGCTACACTGAAGAGTTGCGCTACTTGATACTGTTTGGAAGAAGAAGCAAATTACTGCAATAGGTGCACTACTCAACATGCAACAATACAATAAAACGACTTTAAGACATTCTCAGAAATATAGAGACAGTGACAGTATTCCTTAACCATTCACTGAACACAAGACTAGTATCATAAAACTATAGAAAATTTGCTTATTCACTGTGATATACTCAAATTTAAACAGTCTATAATAGAAATAACAGGCACATGTCACATTGCTTAATATACTTTTTTTTTTTAAAATAGCATATTTCATATTGACATTTTATGTACAAACTTGATCTTTGTGACATTTGTAACCGTTTAACATTCAAATTTTCCAGTACTAATTTAATAATATTCACTTTTGATATGTAGTGTAACTTAATTTAAGAAGAAAGATGCTGATCAGAATATCTACTGCCTCCATTAACTCAACATAGGGGAATATTTATATATTTTGAATCAATTACCACATGACATAAATATATTTATAATCATTTGTAATGAATTTACTTTGCTGATGTAAGCTTACACATAATGATATATTGATATTAAAAAGGAAAACATATTTAATAAAATGTAAATGACATTTTAAAGAACGAGTGATATACTTATTAGGGAACAATAACATGTGTTTCATTATTGTTACAATAATGCTCTAACTGAGAGTATTTCTGATAAGGAATATCACAGTAAATTGCTGTTTTAAACTATGAGTTTTGTTTCACAATTTAGCTGCATTTAATTATTTTAACTATGTAATGAATTATTATGAGTAGTTGGAATGATTTGGAAGGCCACTTTGTTTAAAAAATTTGACATAGGCTTCCATGTTTTTGTTGCTATAACTTTGAAAGTACTTATATCTAAGTAATATATGTTTATTGTCAGATGAACAGGCTTATGATTGATTTAAATCACACAATTCAAATATTCTAATTACATTTATATAACTATGTTTAAAAAAAACAAGAGTGTGCAACTAGCTTTTGTACACAACTACATATACCAGCAATACCAGTATGTCGTCTATATGGATATTGGCACCTTCTAAATCATAAGTTCTCTAACACCTATAGCAAATATAGTAAGGATAAAGGGATGTTAGATGAAGATAAACTCAAAATAAAATGGTTCTGGTGTTTTAAAGAGAATAAGCACTGGAATCCAGCAAAAATACTTTTACTAACAGAAGTTATTTTAGACAAGTTTGGTATATTATGAAGCTTAATGACTCGAATCTGATTGCTTTCTGTCTCTGTGACCATAACCAAATGGTACATGGTTATATACATTGTTGTTTCATGCTATTAAGCAATCAGCTGCACATACCAGGTCTTATCATTGGAGGCATGGAAAGCAATTGGAAAAACTCAGTATTATAGTGTCTGAAGAGGTGACATTGTCACCCAAGAGTAGTCCTCTGATTGAATCTGCACACACAAGCATCACTTACAACATAGGCATCTCAGCACTCAGAGTAGAACAAGTACACAGTGGATGTATGTCAAAGCTAGTAGCATAGCGGACACCCAGTACTTCACTGAGCAACAAAATGCCTATGTGTTGGGCAACACCTCTCAGTTTCATTGAATGTCTTTCAGATATATTGTAAAACTGTAGTTTTCTGCTACAAATGTAAGGGTCAGTAGTACCATGTTTAGTAAACTACTCTTAGATAGCCCCATATAATTGTTATAAACAGAATAATGTAAGATATTTTCACTACATATGTTTAAAGTAAAAATACCTTTGCAATAAGAAAAATATTGCAGATAACCTTAACAGTTCAGCATAAGTAATTCACAGCATCCTGATGGTTTGAGCTAAACAAATGGCCCATGCAAAAAGTCAAGTAACATATTCAAACATATAAGCCTTTGTAGTATGCAAATACAACAATTAGTCTGAGAAATGTTCAATTAAACCATTTTATGGAAACATATTAGCACAGTAGCAGTTTCAGTTAAATGGTTTATAAAACTGGAATACCCAAACATACTTGTTTTAATAATTGGCTCAATGACACATGTGTTAATATTGTTCATACTAAACATCTGTTGTTTATTATAACCATTTTTAGCATGTGAGAAGCAACTTTGAATTGATCAAGAATTATTAATTTCTTGGACCACTTCTTGTCCATAATTTATAGGAACAGCTAAATCAATGCCACATATTTAACTTCATGAATTTTAAATATATATTTTCATTGGCAGTATTTCATTATGATTGGTATAGAACCATACATTTATACTAACCTATGTCCTAAACTTTAAACTATAATCATACAGATACACAAGTAATTGCAGTATAATGACAAGGAACACAAACACATATTATTGGAGTAAACCTTGTTTATTATCACGCAGCTTTTATTACTGGAAAATGCATGTTAATGTGCAAAATCACATAGATTTCAAGTATATGATTTATGTTAATCAATAAAATTAGTATCTAGAATTAATATATACCTAATTAATAACTTACCTCTTCTACCGTAAGGGGCAATGTAACACGGCTAAAATAAGATAAAAATTCCAATATTAACAACAGATCAAGCTAAAGAATCGCAAAATTTAATTTCTTAATGCAAGCTCAGTGTACCAAGGTCCTTCGCAAGAAAACGACTGAAAATGATGAATTTTGCCAAATGCGATAGTTCTACACAAAAAAACAGTGTATATGAAACTGTTTTATATGAATAAATCCTTCAGATAAAGTAAACTTGCCCAGAAAATTAATATATTTGACACTTGGCTGGGGGTTAATTTACCACCTGACAAGTGATGACTTGGGAGAGCTTTCAATATTTATGTGAGAATTATAACGATGAAACTTTAAAATAACATTATATACTTACAATTCTTTGATGAGCATGGTTTTTCTATTTAATTTATCTACTAAACATAAGAAATAAATGGACAACACACGATTAATGAATCACTACTTGTAAAGACGAGTGCCCCGCGCAAGCTCACTGACGCAATGCCGTGACGTCACTGTCAAAAGTCAATTTTTATACCGATCATATAACATACTAGAAAAAGATATGTTTCAAAAAGTAGAAAATAAATAGCACTCAACACTTTTGTACATGTCGTTAGACGCAGCCACACGGTGACATTCCTAAAAAAGTGTATACTTGAAACATTGGAAATAGCTAATCAGAACCATTAGTTATTTGTGATCAAGAAACATATTCTGAAAAATCAATACAGAGGTGACAAGTCATTCGGTAGGACAACGCGGCAACATGGCAAGATAGTCAGGACTGGATCCATCAGACGTGCCCAGCTTTAGAATTTGGTTTGTACTGCCGTGGTGTCGTGCTAAGCAAATTAGCCACATAATAAACCGATTGAGTGGTGTCTACAACACTTACAGATAACTTGAGTTTGAAATTAAATATGACTTGCCAACATACTAAAATAAAAAGGTGTCAACTTTTTCATGACTAAGGCTGGCATTACACTATACAAGTTCTTTGACACAGATATTTGATAAAAGAACTTGGAAAAGAAATGTGTAATAGGTCAGATTTTATAAAAGGAAACTTTTATAAAGGTTCTCTTATCATATTTAGCCTCTTCATCCTATATTTGATAAAAGATTTTGCGTAGTTGTGTCAAGATGGGGGAAAAAGCTGGTGTCTGGCGTACTGGAGGCTATAGTGTAACTCTCTCCGGTGGCTAGAAATCGCAATGTCACCATGAGCCGCTCCTCAGCGCTGATGGGGTTTCGTAAATGTCATTCTTATCCATTCTCAAAAAGCTAACATAACTTCTCTGACCTTCCACTGCCCGTTCTTGCCCCAAGTTATTGTAGATCCTCTTCGACTCACGGCGCGCGATCCACGGTTTTGCCCACAGTCGCTTCTTTTTCGTTGTTAAAGCCACTACAATGGCTGCCGAAGTAAAACTAATTAGCTATGGCAGCAATCTGAACGTCGTCGTCCATAGCACTACCTTCTAAAAATAGTTTATGAAATCTTTTACGTAGAGTAATAGCCTGTTTGGCAACCATAATATTTCTATTATGTATAACTTTTGTAGAAGTACTTTATAAAAGATCTTTGTCAAAGAACTTTCATAGTGTAATGCCGGCCTAAGGCATAAAAGTTGTATTACACGATGCTAGGTGAAAAAGCCGGCACACGGCACGGGTATCATGTAAAAAACCTATAAAACCTAAAAAAACCTATGAGATATCAACTTGCAGACTAGGTAGTTTTTAGGGCGCAAAACAGTCATTCCACGTTTGCTCGCTAGGATCGTTGTGAACGTCCATCTATGGAGGAATCACTCAATTAAACTACGCATTATTGGTTGCATAGTTTTGTGAGGCTGAGTGATCCGCGTCTGTAGTTTTTATCTCTAAGAAGAAAGTTGGTTGAATAGCAAGATCGCATCTGGATGATTATGTGTATTGGTCTGCATGTGTATAAAATCAGTGATATTTGCTGTGTGAGCAAAATAATTACTGAATATGACGGGTTATTTATATGTTGTGCTTTCTGAAGAGAGGTGATGTACAAAGTTATAAATTACGAAAAACTGAGGAGAATTACGGGAAATCACCACCGCGCCCACGTTGTGTGTAATTACTGTTAGCATGTATATGGCTTGTAATTCGACAATGTACAGTGAACATAATTATTTCTTATCTCTCTCATTTTTGAAATTCAGCAAATTTGTATATTTAATTTCCAGAACGGATAAGAAAAAGTGGATGCGCAACTAATTTCTAGCTTTGAATCTTAATTAGGTGTATCTGAGACAAGAACCCAATTCAATTATCATCAACACATATAACTTACAGCTTAGACCTTCAGTAATGCCATCTCAGAAACAGATTTTACATAACATCAGAGTCAAAGATTGATAACAAGCCTCATGACGTTTAGGCAACACGTACAACTAAGTACTAAGTTAACATCTTGTAGAATAACCTACATAATGCCAAAAAAACAGCATAATGTCAAAAAAAAATCGACATAATGTCACTTTTCAAGATACGTGATACCCGTGCCGTCTACAGCAGCATCGTCACTTACAACTCATACACCTTAATAAGTTTTCAAGAAAATACCTATTCTTTGTCCGAGCAACTACCAATGAGAAAGTTCTACTGATTCAATGGTTATACCAAAACATGCCCGAAAATTACAGTTACTCCCTCTGAGCTTAGCACGGCAGTATATATCGCAAGGAACTGTTTCCTACAAATCAGGGTGAGCGTATTAATATAGTCTGTCACAGTTGTTTCTCTATTTACCATACATATGCATATATATAGTTAAGTTGAAGACTCGTCTTTGGGGAAATCGACGAATTATGCAGAGTGTACTTTTTTAACTTACATCTCAAGCTTTTGACAATCTATGCTGCAATCATCAAGAGTCAAGAGTCTGGATGAGAACACATGGTAGGATGATCAAAAACTGGACTCATGAGGATCTTTTTGGAAAATCGATGAAAAACGTGGCAATGTTTTATTGAAAAACTACAAACGGATTTGGAATAATCTTATTGATTAATCAATTTCTAAAATTCTTCTATTTCACATGCTGGAATAACCTCAAACTGCTAGCATGGTCAAAAGGTTGGCAAATCTGTTTGTGTTACTTTAGTAACACTAAAACAGTCAAAGCTTGTTTGAAAATACATAACTGATATGTGATGATTTTCATAGAATAAATCATTATCATTTAAATGTATAAAACGACTTATTATAATAAATACAATTATTTTTAACTTTTTAGTTCTTTCATTCACACTGTTTTTTATTCCTTTATTTTAGTTTCAGCATTTTTCTTCTACCTGTTTATGATTCATATTGCCAAAGAAAAAGTGATCTAGCATATATTTTTGTTGCTTCTTCCATTTGATGTTCTTATATATTATACGTTTCCTGGTTTTTTATCACCCTCCTCAATCCAGCACTGTATATTCTTTTAGTGTAGAGGTTACAGTCTGTGACAGCAAATGCGTGTAACACTGGTTGCCTGCAGCTTACTGACGTAATCCAAACTTTCATAATAATTTATCCAACATGAAGAACAGCTTATACTATGCTGGAGGTTTAGAGATTATTTAGCTATAGATTGATGGTTAAGATACCATAGGCTTTGTTTATACTACTTTTTTCAATAGAAAGCAAATTACATATTTATTGCAGCTAATGTTCCACATAAATATTGTAATATTACTGCTATCCATCTTCCATGTTTTTTTTTCTAATTAAAACCAACAGTGATCGAGTTAAAACAGCATTACCAGGCATTATTATCAAAGTAAGAATTGCTTCACTAAATATATTTTCACACATACACTTCATATTCATATTAATTTAAATCAAATATCCACAACAGTCCTATTATGCACAATGCAAAACAGTTGTATCAATAAATCTATTACACCCACAACAATGTACATATTTTGTGAGATAAAAAATGTAAATAGATACACCTTTTATACAACAGACAACAGTATTTATATATTTACAGATAGTTTAACTACCATATCTAAATGAAGCTACCTATTCACTTATGCCCATTTAACATCATGGTTATTCAAGGAATTCAAAGCCTTGTTGTAACATGGTCATTGGTATAGGTTGGATACTCATTGCTATTTGTTAAAGACTCCCATTCTTGCTCATGTGAGTCGAAATCATACAGGCTTAAGATATTTCTCCTCAATGATATCATTCTTCTACGTCTGGCCATTAGATACACCTACAACATTCCATATTGAATTTGATATCTGTTGAATACCTACTGATCAAATACCTACCAAAATTGATAGTATCATCACCAGTACCATTACCACCAATGGTGCTATGAGGTATTTTGCATCATCAGGGACATAGGGTGCTTCAGTGGTCGTGATAGCAGTTGGTGTAGTGTAATTTTCAGAAAGCATTATAACAAAACTTAAAGCGCATAGTTGAAAGTACGCCTTTCAGCCACATCGTATGATTGAATTCTGCTACTGCTACGTAAATAATGAGTAACCAAAACTGAATAATTCAAATTTGACGCTCATGGACAAGCCACATCTTTAGGTTATGTATTGTTTTTTTTAGGTAATCATCTGTCAGTCGTGACACTCACAACAAACGGCAAAAGATGAATGCGCCCTCTGTTAGATATAAGCGAGAACCATTCAACCTTGTCTTGGCGTCAAGCAGATTGACTCGGTTGACTTTGACCTCGGAAAACTCCATAAATTCCAGGTAATGCTATTCTGTATTAGTGTAAAATGTAGTTCTTAATTGATTGGATTCAAAAACTATTCTGCGGTTGTATAATATTAAGATTCATTGGGAAAATGTGGAGAAAAGTGATATCAACCTTAAAGATTTTCACTCTTCTTCTTCCGTTTCCATAACGTTATAAATCATAGCTTTTTCTTTCTGCAGCGATCGATTACTCGAGAAGTTGTCTTTACACTATTATAAAAACTTGGAATTTGAAATTGAAAATATGGTACCTATAACTGATATATGCGAGGAATTCGGTTAAAATATATTAAAAATAGTGGCAGTTCTGGTTGTACCCGACGTAGATAAGAAATTGATTCTTTTGAATGAAACACCCTGTATAATATTATTCATCTTTTGAAATATAAGCAAGGTTGTGAACACGTCATGCATAACATCCTATTCCTTACTCTGATTACAACTGATTTTGAGAAATAACAAATAAAATCATTTTTAGTTCAAATGGAAACCCGCTATAACATTATTTAATTCGCACATCAGTAGTTTAGGAAATACATATTAGCAAATTCTCGTTTGCTATTTGTCCTAAGCAAAATATTTGGAAAATGAGATATAAGTTTTTTGGAGGTTATATATGGCGTATGTTCGTACATACATCACGAAAAATCAAGTCACTTGTTTCCGTATGTCTGTCGGTCTTTCCGCCTGTTCGCTAATCTTTGGACCGGATATAACTTGGAAGGTACTGCTCGGATTTGAATGAAATGTTCACACAAGATTACAACTATGCCAAGGAAAACTGATCCAGTGGCAGCGGAGCTAAGGGCAAAAAATTTGCCGAGGTTAAAAATTTGATGTTGGGGGTTATAGGGGATGGGGGAGAGTATATAGCAATTTTTTGGTGCTAGCAAATTATAGCTACGTACCTATTAGACGTATTTCATAGATCTTTTCGAAATGACCTTGGAAACTGACCTTAGATTCGGACTCTACGTACAGGTCGAGTAGATTTGAAATGACTTCAAAACACCCTTCAAATGGCCTGAAACGGACAAAATGTCCTCAAATTCGGACTCAACCACCCCAAATTCTGTAAGCATGGCAGATAAGTGCCCCACACCTGATTATTTACTTAGGAGACTTCTAAATGTCACGTGAAAACTGACCTTCACCATAGCCAGAAGAAGGTTCCAATAAGTGGCGTTTGTGGTCATATCGTTTAGTACATGAAAAACATATTTGGATTTTCTTTTATTGATCAAAATTGTATTAGGCCGAAAACCGGCCTTATGGGCCCTCATGTCATTTTTTTGAACAAATTAATGAAATCAGGAAAAAGTGACTATCATTTTCACTAAAATTATACACATAAAAAATACAACTTTATTCGATATCAGTTTTCTGAGGCCCTATATACGAAAAAGACATTGCACATAAAACTATATATTACACCCTACAACGTTAGTATCAGCTACTTTTTGCTAAACGGCCATACACAAATTTATGTTAAATAAGCAACTTTTAAGGTCCAACCGTATTCTCTGGGGTGCCCTGGGACTCCCCTTCGTGGGCCTATGTCCGTCAGTCTGCCTACCTATTAAAATAGGTGGCCTTACAACCACGTGATCGCCAACGCCCGCCAAGCAGATTTTTTGAAATTCAAGGAGCTACATGAAGACCGAAGGAACTAGTATCAGTAGTACACATCGTACGCCAGTGTTAGGGCAACATTATTTTGCATTGGCAAAGTCGGTGCACGCGGATCCCGTCTTATTCAAATACATGCCGTGTTAGCAGTGATTTACAATATATTATGCTAATGTCTTCCGTTTTAGTAACAGCCTATATAGTATAGATCAAAGTAGGCGATAATGCTCCCTGTGGGCGCTGAAGACCTACAGATGGGGCGGTAGAGAGCCTAGTTAAAATTGGATGGCGATCAAATGGTTTTGGAAGGCAAATCAATTGCTCGTTTTTCGGGAGGATAGACGAAATACGTTTGAGAACATATGGTGTAGATAAAAGTATTTTTTTTTGAATGTGACGGAGCTATGAATAGTATGAATAAGAGGCAATGAGGGATCGTACCCAAACCTCGTTTATATAATGTGATCCAACTTTACTGACTGTTGGGCTCAATAAAACAATTTCTTGGATGGGTGAGGATTTTAAAAAATATGAAAAGAGCGAGTCTTAAAGATTCATGATGTTTCTTTAAATCATCTTACCTCTCCCCACTCTCCAGCTATTACCAGCGGCACAAACAATTGTGCATTACCACCTCATTCGCTTCTCTACCCTACTTCATAGTATCCCCTACTTCTGGTCCGTTTTCGTTCCCGTACTTTTATCCCGGATAAGATTCCAGGAATTGGCTCAGCGTGTCCTGTCGCATCGGTCGATAACCAGTAACGTTGCCAATAGTTTATGCTTTTATGCCTTATTATTGTAGGAGTAGAGAATCGAGATGGATTCAAGGCCCGTATCGACAGTCGTTTGTACAATTGTAGGTCGCCTTTATGGCCTCCTCGATTTTCATAGTTTTTCCTGTTCTTCAGAAAGGCAGCGGTATTTCTAGATATCTACTGTTTCATATCAGCACTCTATTTTGAGGTTATGTCTTCTTTTTGAATTCTAAAACATTTCAGGGTGATACAACATCATTTTTATCATCTGTTTTAGCAGCCTGAAATTTCTTGTCACATTCTATAGGAAAACCTAAATCATGTCAAAATAAACCTACATAATGTTATAAAAATCAATATAATATGACTTTTAAGTTCCGTAATATGCGTTCCGGATGCAAGAAGATTCGAAAACAAGTAAACATATTTTGAAACAAACCCTTTTCCGAATAAATAGAAAAACAAATATTTTCATTTCGGTGTCAACAGTTTATCACACATTAGATTAATTAAATTTTGAACATAATGTCTTCAAGTTCTAGGTCCTTAACAGCAATTCACAGCTCGAGACAACTCCGGAAGCTCTGAACGGCTCGTGTACACATATCACTACAATTATTCAACAAACCACTTTATTAGCGCTAATAGGATGTCAGGAGTGCGCCTGAGTAACCTTTCTCTTAGAAATCATGAAAAAGTAATCACAGATGCTTAAATCTCTCGTAACCGCACAGACCACCCCAAATCACCTTTCCAACGAGACGTCCTGCCACATCCTGTAGTACGTAGAAGGATGGCTATACGATCGATAGTGATAACACACCAGGAAGATGAAAAACTCCATTATAAAATATCAAATCAAGTAATTTGTTTGATGACATATTCCATAATCAAAACCAAATACGAATACCAAAAAAAATAAAACAAATACAAACAACCTTGTACGCAGGCATATTAAAATATAACACTAAAATAATAAAAAACATTGAATTTGAAAAGATTTATACAATTCGTAAAATTTCGACATAAAATGAGTTTCATACAGGTGCATTATAATCAAAACGATTGAGATTTGTCACAATTTGGAATTTTCAGCTGGTTGAGAACCTTTTGATTGAAACTATTATATATGGCTATGTGGGGGGTTTACTTCATATCTACAATTTCTAAAGTCTCCGGTCTGGACAAGCTCTAAGTCCAGAGTTTAAATTTCTCTTTTAAAGATTTGATAAGAAGGTATTTGTTTCGTACTATCAGGTTCCATATTCTAAAATCTAGTATCCAAGAACATGATGGATCATTGTAGTACATTTTTGCCTGGTTTTGAGACATCCAAGTATTTTCTACATTTTGTGCGGAGTTTTTGATTCTAGAAAAAGGGCAGGTATAGGATAATAACGTGGCTTATTATATAATGGATGTCTGGATTTTCTAACTGTATTGGATGTGCCCGCTCCACCCCAAGCTGTGATGACTTAGGTCACTTTCTCCAACAGTTTAGCAAGATGTGTCTTGTATAATACGACTCGTTTTTTTTCAACTAAAACTGTAATGTGAATGTTCCATCGTATATGAGAATCATTGCGAACTCCAAGATATTTTTTAGTGTCGGATGACGATATATTCAACGGTATTTGATTCTGAAAAATTGTAAGATCATTGTAGTTTGTTAAATTACCTGCGTAAGAAAAAAAGATATAAAGTTTGTTTTTTCATAATTGATCGTGAATCATGAGTAGTAAAATGTCAAACCGTTTAATTGATATTTACGAAATCTCTTTCCGAATACATTTCAAGTTCTTCCCATGTTTTGGCGTCATATAGTATAGCTGTGTTATCTGCATAGCTCACTATATCGCCATTGATGTTTATACAGGTCCGTTAAATATACGTATGTTAAAAAATACTGGGCCTAGAACCGTGGCTTGAGGAACGCCGGAATTTACTACATCGTAACATGCAATCTGAAACACTGAATCCTACGAGTTAGTTAGCTTTTCTTCAAGTTGTCTACGTTACCTCAATAGGAACCGGAGCTAAATTCTAGTGGGGGGAAAGTTGAGGGAGACTGGAAGTTTAAAGCAATTTTAGGTGAGCACCTCGACCACGGCGGTAACCCAAGCAATTACTTTTTGAACTATTCTAATCTATGAGCACCTTGAATCATTGTAGGAATTTACTAAAAGTATGCTTCCTCTCCAACAAATCTGCTCTGTAGCATATTTGTTGAAAACGGCTATATTTATAGGTGCCCGGCACACATGTGCCTGCAACTTGTCATATTGGAAACACACCTCTAGGGGAGGTCCATATTTACTTATCTTTTGAGAAATTCGACAACACCGCTGTCCGAGGCTGCTGTCTCCGCAGTATCTCGACCCCTAACCCTGACCTGATGGGAGGCTTCCAGGAAAAGCGTGGGAGAAAACTCCGCAAAACAAAATTGTTAGGCGGCGAGAACACTTCCAGGAATTTCTCTCTTGGCCCCATTTTCCGATAGCATTATGTGATATATTATTGTATGGGTAAAAGAAATTGGCATCCACCCCAGTTCAGAGTAGATTTTCAAGTGGTTATGGATCTGATATTCTTACGTCATTTACATGCAGAGCAAAGGCGGAGACACAACACATTTTGTGTTCAACTGTCTTTTCCGATCTTGGAGCTTCCATCATTATTTGATTTCCTAATATTCCTTCTGATGAGGATGCCACGAAAAGTTGGATCTTATTTTGAATATACTCTATTCCAACTAATTCAGCAGAATTGTGCATGGAACTTCTTCTAATCATTAGAATCCTGGGCTAGCGGAGAATTCAATCCTCGGATAGGTATACGAAAGAATGGCGTCAAGTAGGTTGACTTTGCACTTCCTACGACACACTGTCATCGATTCATAAAGGATTATATTCGGTCAATTACTTTTAGAAAAAAGTTACCTACGAACATGCGTAACAATGGAATTACGTGGATCATGTCAGTTAAATAGGTTCATACAATCCAGTCCATACTCCCTACAGATTGAACAACTCTGCGATCTGGCCTACCGCCTACGATAGTACCGACCACCCAACATAATACACGCATCATCGCTCAGTTATCCCTTAGCATTCGAAAAGACAGACGTACACTCGCCGAGTTGTCCGGCACGCATATATCGGAAATATATTTCTATCATTCAAATTTTAAGAGAAACCTATGATACATATATGTCTAATAGATGGCTAGAATTTCCGGGGTTAGAAACGTATACAAATGTCAAAAAACGAGGTTTTGGACAATTTTATTTTTTTCGTTTTTCCCATAGCTCCGCCGCCTCTGGACCGATTTTCAAAAACTATAAAGCACTTTCATCCTTGGCATAGTAGTATTATTGTGTGAAAATTTCATCATAATTTGATAAGTATTTCCCAAGTTACAGACGGGCCAGGACAGACAGACATGCCGACGGAGTTGTTTTTCATGATGTACATGAATGACATATATACAAAAAGCGTCATATTTTCGAATTTATTCGCGACTACAATAAATCCTCAGTGGCATCGGAAGTAAAAATTGTTAGCAAAGTTTAATCCTTGTAAAAATATTTTGCCACAACCATTGAGCTCGAGTTTAGTTGATTGACGAAATGTGCTTGTATTATAATAATAAATAAGATCGCTAGATTTTCTAGCAAGTGGCGGTATCTCAAAAAAATCTATAGCTAACTATCAAGCTCATCTTGTTTACAAACACACTGACTCACCAACTAACGTCTTTTTAAAACCTAGTTTCGGTTATGTAAATATTAACAAAGCGTAGCGACAACCGTTTTTTTCTTTACTTTCTTCCTTGCATTCCTTCTTCCTACCTAAGACGAGTTTTGAGTGTATAATGACGACGAAGCCGCCTGAAGAACAGGTGACTCACACCTTGAGTACGGTAGGCATCTCGTGTTTTGATGCCCAATGCATGCGTCATACACTTGTTGGAGTACGCTATGGGAATTGGAATTGCAGAATTAGATACAGATATTTATCGAAAGATGCTTCCAACAGATTTACTTTCATTGTTGTTGCCATGTTGAAGGAACGATGTCAATAGACATGCTCGGCACTAGAAAATATGTTCTCCAATGTATGGGCTACCGTTTAGCAAATCTTTCCTTGGTGTAAGTTAGAAACCATAAGATGTCTTCAAAAGTTTTACTTTCATTTACAAAGTCTAATGTATGGAATCTTACACAGCTTTCATGGTAGGCTGTGAAAACAAATTATCTACCTAAAATGTGTTAATTGGATTCTGCAGAAACAACAAGCTGTCGAACGTCGAACATCTTCAAGCTCTGTTTTTTATGGGTTTAGACCCTCTGATATTCTTTGAACGTACATAGTCAAAATTACTATTGAAGAGTTGCAAGCCTTAGAGAACTCTGAAGTTCGCCTTCAATGTTTCTGAAGTTTCTAGAATTTTTAGCGTATCATACATAAAAACATTCCTTGAGATACATTCTGAAGTCAGACTAATGTTTTCTTCTTTCAGGAACATCACTCATGGCTGTTAGATTTGATGTATACCAGAATATTCAAAACCGTTTTTACGTTACTCGAGCATACCAGTTATGATGAGGAAACTTCAAAATAACACTTTAAAATGTCTACTGTAAGTCGATTTAAATTAGTGCGTAGGAAGTATGAACTCTACTGAATCAACCTACGTGACAATTTTTATTCAAATGCAGCCGTGGCGGCAGCTCCTGAATACTGTTTTTTCCTTTTGGAAAGCTTTTAAACACTTTCAACAGTTTCACTTTCCAAGTGTTTTATGTTTGCATTGGATTGTTCGGTAGTTGATTTCAATTCATATTGGATGTTTGGGGTATTAAAAAAAAACACCAAAAACCCATTCCTCATTACTTGCGATATGTAACATACTCTCAGTAAATCTCTGTATCTCTGTGTTTAAACGTTTATTCGATAAACAGATTATGGTCATTTTTTCCGTTGATACTAAAATATAGTATCCGCAAAAAACTGGTTCTAATGTGCACGGAAGCGATCAATACTAATTTCCCGTCCACCTGCTGAATACCTACCTGTAAGAGAGTGACTCATAGGGCCTTTTTCCCACCTTATACAGAAACGCCTGCTGAAGATACGAGTAGGTATACAAGTGTATTGTGCCGTGCCGAAAGGGCATAAATCTTCGAACCAATGACAAATGCTCTTCAAACTTCCCGCCGGGAGGATGTATGTACCGTAGAAATTAAAAAGTTTTAATTTTAATGCCGACATATTTCGTCAAAGTCTTACATACGTTCATCAAACTTTGACAAGACAACATACGGCGAAAATAGAACTTAGACTTTTATATCATTCCATTCAGGAGAAACTATATAAGCACTGCGACTCTTGGCTTCAATGATCTAAGACCCGTAAGTGTTGTAACCAATTCAGATGCTAAGGTCGAAGTGCTTGCAAAGAACTTTGATGCCACCTTCAACATGGACATCCCCCCAACGTCAGACTGCCATCGATTCAAAGGGTTCCCTTCCCTACACTATGACGGAAGTACCCTTCAGGTTCTTGTCGTTCAACATCAACAAAGCTTCTGGTCCGGACTTGATTCCTGCCGTTGTACTGAAGAGATGTGCAGAGTCCAGTTCTTTCGTATCCCTTACAGGTATCTTACCAATCCGGCGCGTTCCCAGAAATCTGGAAATTTGCTCATGTCCAATCCATTCAAAAAAAAAAAACGGATTTAAGACCGACCCTTACAACTACAAGCATACAGTTCTGATTTACGTTATAAGTAGGGTTATGAAGAGGTTCATGAATCGCGAGCTTCTGAAGTACCTCGAACGTCACGGCTTGATTAGCAACAGGCAATATGGTTTCCGACACCAGCGATCCACAGGGGACTCCTCCTAGCTTACGTCATGCAACTGTGGAGCAAACTCATCCAGTCTTAAGGTGACATGCTGCCCTCTTATGCAAACTTCCATCCTATGAATTCCTCTTTGGCCGCAAGATATCCGGCGTAAGTGACGGGTTCTACCCCCCATCCCACAATTTCAAGGCGGGTGTTGCCCACAGATCGGTCTTGCTTCCGACATTGTTCTTCTTTTATATCAATAACCTCTTTCCCTGTATGATCAATTCGATTCACAGCTTTGCATATAGTATGTTTAAAGTTTCACTAGACATGCGTGAACCAAGATCAGTAGTGTCAGTTAATGATAGTATAACATCATTCAGCCGTGATAAAACTCTGTTCAGGGGCTTGAATTCGGTTAAAAAAAGTTGGTGAAGTCGTACTTTAGAATATACCCTTTGAAGGCAAACCATTGATAACCCGTCTAAAGATTTTTTTCTAAATATTGCACTGGCATGACTCTCCTCATTCTGTACAAGGCCCAGATAAGACCTAACCTCGAGTACTGCTCACACGTTCGGGGTGCTGCCGTCCCGACTACATTATCCATGCTCGATGATATTCAGAGGAGGGCTATCCGACTGATCGATGACTCTTCTCTAACCGACAGTCTCGGTACCCTGTCGCACCGACGGGCCGTTGGCTATCTAGCTCTCTTCTACCGCTACGCAAACGGGCATGGCTTCGAAGTCCACAACAAGAGCTTCGTGTGTCGTTTTTTCCCTCTCCAGCTTCGTTCAGGTTACACACGTATCCGGATGTGTGGGCATGTGTATCTACTTTTGTAGCTTCATATGTGTATTCATTTCGGGACTGATGAAGCCAACCAGCAGAACTACGTATCGCTCGGGTTACCTATCCTATTTTCTGCTCGAATCCACTTTCCTCCTTTTTGCGGATTTTGCCCATTATTTTCCTACTCTTTGTTATATACCTTTCTCCGCATGATCATTTCCTCTTTGTAAATCCTTTGGGCTTGAAGTACCACAGCAAGTGTCTATAACCGGCTGCGTGGTTATGGTTAGATGTCTTCTTGAAAATTCGAGGTCTTCTAGACATTTTATACTACAATGTGTAGGATAGCTCTTGTTGTGGACTTCGTGTGTCGATTTTTCTCCCTATCCATCTTAGTTTCCTCAGGTTACACCCGTATCCGGATGTGTGGACATGTGTATCTACTTTTGTAGTTGCATATGTACATTCATTTCGGGCCTCATGAAGCCAACCAGCAGAAATACGTATCGCTCGGGCTACCTATCCTATGTTCTGCTCGAATCCACTTTCATTCTTTTTGCGGATTTTGCCCATTATTTTGCTACTTTTTGTTATATATATATACATAATTGTGAAGATATTTTCGAGCTACCATGATCACGTCTAGCCAAGTATTTTCAATCCATTTTTCCTTCCCACGTCCCTGTTGAGGAAGTATTGTGATCGCAAAAAATTCAGCAAGTGAGATATGTTTTTGGATGTTATACACATATGATATGTGTGTTATGAAAAACCATGTCATTCCCGTCGGTCTGTCCGCTAATCCTTGCCCCATTTATAACTTGGAAAGTACTGCTCGGATTTCGATGGAATTTTCACACTCGGTTCCATAGAAGCAACCAAACCGCGAGCAAAAAACGGAAAAAGTAAAAAACACCTCGGATGCAACTGATCATTTTCAGAAAAATTTTGGGAGTTCAAAATTTGGGGTTGGGGCTTAGTGGGTGGGGAAGGGTTTATCCAATTTTTTGACGTTAGTATCTTTATACGCTTTGTCACGGATAAGTGTCGGGCCGTGACTGCTGTGGTGCCGAATCTGACGTCTGACGAGTGGATGCGTCATATCGACGTTGCCAGATGAACGGTACTATAGGTATTCAGGGGAAACATCTATGGATTAATTGTGTGGGCCTGTTTGACTCACATGATCCATTTAGATCTTTCTGTTACACATGCTCGTAGTTCTCTCAGGCAACTTGTGCGGAAAATAAACTGCTGACAGCGTTGCGCGGGAAATGTGGTTGACCTGGTTGATTTAATTCCTTTCTCTTTATAAATTTCTGCGTGTTATATTTGTGGTTGTCTTGATGAGACCACCTAATACCCACTAAACCCTAATCTCCGCGTGGCCCGACTCATCAGCGTCTCGGTAGGCCATGTGTTGTGCGTGACCTGCGGTCTGCTACAACGTCTCCTCATGTGTTTCAGTCTCTGGGAACACCGGTTCGGTTCCCCTTACCTCGCACAGCCCTATCGATGTCGTTAAGCGAGAATCGATAGAGGGTTTGCTATGTTCTCTTGAAACTCTTGTTTTCTAAAATAAAGAGTTTCAAGTCCTCTACTACTTGTTTGTTACCTGGTCCTGATGGGTCCAGGTCTTGGTTGGTCCTGGTCCTGGTGGTCATGTACTCGTGAATGGTGTCCCAATGCAGGTCTCTACGCAAGGTTGAGTTTCTTACGTAGGATGGTGCACTGGTGGCGATCCGGAGTAGCTTCATCTCTAGAGTACCAAGTCGCTTGCGGTAGCTGGGAGCAGCGTACCCACAGACCGCGGAGGCGTAAGCGAGCTGAGGTCTGGCGATGGCCTTGATCAGCCGTAGCTTGGTCGCTAGCGGCATCCGGCTGTGTCTACCGAGTAATGGGTAGAGTTGGGCCATGGCTGCTCTGGTCTTTGCGATGACAGCTTCTATGTGATCTTTCCAGGTGAGGTACTTGTCAAATACGATACCCAGATATTTGACTTTGTCGCTCCACTGGATATCGTCGAAGATGGATGCTTCGGGAGGTCTTGCAATCCTTCTTCGTTGGATGAAGATTGTCTGCGTCTTCTGGACGTTGATGCGGATTTTCCATTTCACGCACCAGTCCTGGATGTGGTCCAGTTCATCCTGTAGTCTCCTACGGATGATCTCGGGTCGTCGATGCTTGGCGGCTATAGCAGTGTCGTCTGCATATAGGGCCAGCATTGTGTCAGCTGTCTACGGTATGTCGTGAGTGTAGATGTTGTAGAGCAGGGGGGCTAAGGCTGACCCCTGGGGCATGCCTGCTTCCAGCTGTCGTCTTGTTGAGTGGCATGTACCAATCTCCACCGTGAACCATCTTTGTGTTAGATAGCTCTGGATCAGTTGGCACATGTTTGCATCGATTCCGGCGGCTTCCATTTTGGCGATGAGTCCATCGTGCCAAACTCTGTCGAATACAGAATTACCATCGCAATTTTACTTTTATACCTCCCTTTAAAATCTACTGCCTGACCATACTTGAGTTGCCGGTATACCACCCAAATTGCAATCTACCTGTTTCAGCATGCATCTGCATTTTTGGTAGGTATTCTTTTAGGCATTGTTACCTGTACAGTATCTTCAAGAAACGTGTTCGAGCATAGTCTTGGGGAATCACGAGGAATAATTTCGAAATAAAGGGGAAGTAAACTCCATCAACTTATTTTCAAATGGCATCGAGAAGAAATTAAACTTAATATAAATATAATTTGCCTAGGAAAGGCATATCAATACACTAGAACTAAAACTACATAAATAAAAGAAAAAAATGCTTTCAAAAATAGGACAAGAAAAGCTGTCAATGAAAAAAACTTTCCTCGCAACTTGTCAAACTAGAGCGTGTTACACCTACCTCTTGTTGTGAAAATGTAACTCGCTTTTATTCGCTATATTGGATTTATTGTGATACCACTTTGCTTGCACTTAATTTTGTAAAATCCGCCTTATAAAATTAAAAATGGCGGCGATTAAATAGTCATACATTTTCACGTAAACTTAACCCATGTGCCAAATCTTAGCTTAATATAAAAAAGCGGAGCAACGTAAGTGAAATTCAAGTTTGATTATACATAGCCACGGACAGGTGAAACTAAGCAAAAACTTGTAAAAAAGACGCTCATGAGATAATACATTTTTTGCAAAAAAAGCAAATTTACACATGGGCGCCCATTAGGCAGGCAAGAGGGGCAAAGCCTCCCTGGCTGCCATTAAAATATTCTTAATTAAAGTTCCTGTTTCTTGGGCATCGAGTGACGTGTGTTTTTTACTCCTACATCAAAATCATTTTCTCGTCCACCGCTTGAAACAGCCATCAAGCCTGCTTCGACTGGTTGACTGTGCATGTAAGCATCACCTGCCCCTTATCTGAATTTCACTGTATGGGCGACCACGCATTAATTTGAACACCCTGATGAAAATTGGATTGCGGAATAAGCTCAATTTCGAGCCAATCAACGTATGGCAATACAGGATATTAAAAGTAATCACTAGTTCATATTTACGTATAAATCCTGAAATTATGGTCAATACTGTATCAACAAAAGACAAATTTCTGTTTGTCCATTTCGTGCACCCGCATACTATTGTGGTCGGTGCGCTTCACCTGCATTGTTCTTTTTTACCTGTCTCCGGTGTTCGTTGCCTTCTTTATTTCTATGGCATAGACACTTCTCGAGGAATCAAGTGAACCCGTCATGAGCAGGGCACCATGGAATAATGGCTTTAGTATATGGGCCACAGACGAAATGGGAAAACGTATAGTCACCGCGCATCATCCATTTTCATACACAGATCTGTGATCAATTGAGAATCAAAATAATAGATGGATCGTAACTCAGGTGACGGCTGCACTTACAATGTCAAAAGTAGGATATTGAAAATGTCAAATATTTGGAATAATGGCATCAAGTAGGTTGACTGCAGCTTCTACGAAATTCATAAAGATTATTCTAATCTGCAGTTAATCACTCTTAGAAAAAAGTTCACTACGAACATGTATAACAAACTATACAAATGGACCATCAGGCTCATACCATTAGTCCGAAGTCCCCACAGATTTGACAATATTGCGATCTAGCCTACTGTCCAGCACGGCGTCGCACACGCATCATTACTTAGTTATCCCTAGGGGGGTGAAACGTCTTATGGACAAACTGGCAACAAGGTCATCCTCTTCTGGCAAAATCGAGGAAACTGCAACCGGCATCACATGACGAACTGCTTGCCGGCATTATCTATCTTTAACTAAAGTTAAAAATATCAAATATGACGTTTGTTTTGGTTAATATCTAGATTATCAACGCTGATGCTTTGGGAGATATTTCGTTAAAAATGAGTATAAAATATATAGCAACAGTAGTGATGGTTTACGTGAGATGTATTGTGACTGTTCTGGGAGATGCAGAAGTTCAGGAGACTCTGTCATGAGTCAATAAGATCTACAGGTAGGCTGTGAACTTAAAATATCGGCATGATGTACTTGGTAGGTTATCTAAAATTGCACGCCCGTGTTCAGTCTCTTTATAATCCTTGTAGTTGGCACCGTTGAGTACGAAAGTTTTTTTAGTACAGCCATAAAGCCCTAGGCTTTATAAGCAAAATTCTGCCCATCTAGGCCAACTAGCTTATTTACAAAGAATTATGAATTACATTACTGCCGTATTGTTTCAGAATTATCAAGAAACAATTCAATGAAGTGAGACGCCTGTGCTTTGCAACACACAACATGAATTTGGAATAAATCCATCTATATTTTCATTTAATTGAATATTTATACTATTTTGAACAGCATTATGATTTTTTTGAAACTAAATGTATTTTGTGCTTCATAATTAGTGTCGGGTTTATTTATTCTGAGCCTTGTTTTCACAAAAACTGCAGAAAGCGATATTATCCTCATTGGGGATATTTTATGAATATATGTTCATGAAATATACCATTTTCAGCAGATTTCAATAGTTCCTCCAGATCTCCAGGCAAGTAGGCAACGCAACCATCTAAAAAATAGTCCACGGTGTTGCCATCGCTTAACGAGCAGCTCCCTCTTCTTCAGTCTTATGTGTTTTGTGGTTATCCCTCAGCATTCGAAGCAGACAGACGTACGCTCCTTGTGTTGTCCGGTACGCTTATATCGAATATCTCTATCATTATGGTTTTAAGGGCAAATGTATGGTGAAACCTGTGATGTATGAAAAATATAAGTACACGGGTTGGAAACGAGTAAACTGCTAAATCCCAAAAATTGACATATACTCTCCGTCACTCGTACAACCCCCAACATCCCCAGTTATTAACCCCTGCGCAAATGTTTCTGAATATGACCACGTTCGACAATGTCAAAAAACGAAGTTAGGACGATTTTTATTCTTTTCGTTTTTGGAGTTTATCTCCGCCACCAGTGCACCGATTTTCAAAAACTATAAAGCTTTTTCATCCTTGGCATAGAAGTAACCTTGTGTCAAAATTTCTTGAAAATCCGAGCGGTTCTTCTGAAGTTAAAGACGAGCCAAGCATAAAAGGACAGATAGGCAGACCAGCAGACCGATGGAAATGAGTGAAATTTCGTCATGTACACGTTATATAACATCCAAAACACACAATCTCATTTTAGCGTTTACAATACAAAAGGGGATAAGAGATGAGCTGAGTGAGAACGCTCTTCTCTCAACCACAACAAGCATGACCGGACCAGCACCAGCATTCTTGGATATGTTGTATAGACGCTGGTAAAAAGAGTAACAAATAATCCATTGTCTGGCTTGATCCGCAAATTCCGTATTTTTTATGGGCAGCCTCCAGGAGCTTGAGCAACATTTTGCGGAAGCACCACCTATGTCTTCGGCGAAGCGAAAATAGAGAAACTAAAGGCTCTCCGAATAAAAAGAAGATATATCGGAAAGGCCTGAAAGAAATATTGCGACCTCTCGAACCTCACCTCTTAAATCGTGCAAATCACCTTGCATACTTAGCAATAAGAATCTTGGTCATAGTTTAAAGGAAACAAGGAGAACTGAAATCTGGGATGGTATCTCACCAACTGCTTTTGATGCACCATCATTATAGGACATTTTGATAGAATAGTCACGGTCAGCTGAAGTCCGACAAATGATGAGCTTTTTCATTTGTTGGTTCTGTCTTACATTTTAAACTTCTCAAAGCCCCAACTGTTGCACTCCCTCGATGGCTCCCTACGTCGAGAAAGCTCCAGCCATATGTTTGGCGGCATACCGAAAGGAAATAAAGAAAGTAGGATGAACCCGAGTGAAGTACTCGAAACCCAAAACGCAAAATATAAATAGAAAAGCGTTGCTAAATCGTGATTCTAGGGGTACCTCATGATCTTCTTTCAACTGATATTGTTTTGGAACCAATTTTGAACGTTAATTTGTTTAGGTCAGGCTATCCAGTCTTTTTTCCCGTACGCCAAACATTTATGCCGAATAGCTTCTCAAAGCTTTAGCTATATCTTGAGGACCACTATCGCACCGAAAGGATCACTTGATAAAGAATTTCAATCTGTGAGACTGATATTCATATCCGCTCAGAGATTATACAACATTTTCATGACCAGTGTGGTGTCAAAATGTATCGTTCGCGCTCGCACCATGACTCCTTCCGTAACATATCGACAATAAGTTCTTCTTGTTCAGGCTTTGCATTGGTGCCAGATAGCTTCACGTTTTGAGGACCAAGCGTATCGGGCACGCTTCCTCGAAGGGTTCTCATGCCACACGGAACCTGGATATCAAAATTAAGATTACAGCAATGGAAACAGCATCTACATGTTTGAAGTTGGAAAGACATAGACGAAAGGAGTATGATTTTCCTTTAAGGCGTGGTTCAGATAGAAGATCTAGGTTGGTTATCCATAACGGTGAGCTTGCAAATGCTTTACTGACATTTTTAGGGCCGTTGTCGTGCCGAATTTTATCGCCCACGCTTCCTCTAAGGCTCCTGCCTCGAGAGCGCCGCCCATGTTTTCTCGTCGCTATCTCATCATGGAAGACGTCCTAACCGCCATATTAACCAAATAAAATGAAGACGATGAACAATAAGAAGGGTAAAAAGTGTTATACTTTGTTCTTGGAGAATCAGTGAGGTCCAAGGGAATACAAGAAAATATTGAGAGAATGACGTCGGACTCCATGGGAATCAAAAGAAATCAGAATGGAGAGGATATTTTTCCCCAAAAACGTTGAGTACATCCATGTCGGATAGCTTATCAAAACCACAACACATTTTTAGGAACACTGTCGCGTCGAATTTTATCACTCACGCTCTCTCCAAGTCTCAAAAACGCCATCCATGTCTTCGGTGACGCTGAAAGACAAGAGATCAACAAAGCTTACCGTCGCTATCTTATTATGGAACAGATTCTGAACTTCCGCCATATTAACCAAAAGAAATGAAGAAAACGGCGAAGAAAAATAATAAACAGTGTTTGGAGAAACTAGTTTCTGTACCACTTAGGTTAGGAGGTTTGCGTCTTTACTCCTGAAAATAAATCTAACTAAGCCACATCTCCAATAGGTACTGAAAATTCGTATAGCCAAGCTTCAACGAGAGCTCGAGGACATCTTTTGTGCTAAGATGAATTGCACACGCTCTATCAATGGTTCCTATTATCGAGTATTTTGAATCCGCGTAAATATAGATAAAAATGTGTTGTTGTTGGTATGTGACCTCTTTAAAGACCTTGTTCATTGGACTTACCCCCACCTGCTGCCAAATCAGATGTGCAACGTTGAACTATGAGATGGTAATGGAGGAGTTTTTCTAACTCAGTGGGGGAGATCCAAGGCAATACAAGGAGATCAAAAGCAACCCAAGATCTGAGGCTGTCCAAGGAGGTCCCCCAGGCGAAACGTTTCTGTCGCCTTAAAGTCCGGGTTGCTGACGCTACTGATTTTTCTGGGCATCTTACTAGATATTTTATACAATATTAATACAAAAAAAGCTTGGAAGATCAAAGGAGACCCAATTATTCCACGGGGATCCAAAGAAATCTCGATGGAGAAGATCTTTAGTCCCAAAAAGTTGAAATTTGACTGGACAATTGTACATCCATGCCGGATAGCTTCTTAGAACGATAAAACATTTTTAGGTCCACTGCCGCGCCGAATTTTATCGCCCACGCTCCCTCCATGGCTCCCCTTGCCATGAAAGCGCCATCCATGTCTTCGGCGGCGCGGAAAGAGAGAGAGAGACGAACAAAGCTTACCGTCGTTCTCTCAGTATCGAACGGAGTCCGGAGCTCGCCGCAGCTTACCGCGATATCGCGAACCCCCGCCTGACCGCCATATTGACTGGACCGACTTGTCCATCGGGATGTCGTTTAAAAAGTGCTGTCTTTGTGCTTATGTCAAGTGGGATGTGTGTGAACAAAGTGTGTGAGAACCACTGTGGATTATTCTAGAACGTACGAATAGGACCTGTTTCTCTCCGCACAGGTAGGAGCACCGGAAGTTCTTGGAGCGTGAATGCGTTGGTACGGTCGTGCAGTCACGTGACTGACCGGACTGCTGCTGCGGGTTGATGTTTATGTTTTGTCGATTGCATGCACTTATATGTATGTATAACTGTATTTTATGCTGGATTAAACTTGGAATTCGTACTTTCAAAAGGTCACGATACGGATTCAGTATTCTGATGTCTAACAAGGGTGGTGTGTAAAAAGAATGTTTGCAAATAAATTACAGGTTTTTATCTAGCTTTCAGAAATGTTAACCAACTGATATCGCAACAACTTCTCATGTTGACCCTATATTTTGAAAATTATTATATTATATTTAATTACAAATGTACATCCTTATTGGTCTATAAAAGTCATCCTCATTAGCGCATAAAATTGCTATGCCGGTACCCAATGAACGAGTTGTAATTAGTGAATTACTAAATGGCCTAAAAGAACATTTCAACACCAAAACAAAGTACTACTATCCCGACTACTTTAGTACGGAAACCTGAACAGCGAATATGGGAGAGGAACAGAGAAGATCTTTCATGTACCTTGTGGGAGCACAAAAACAACAGGTAAACAACTATCTCAAAGCCAAAACAAGAATGAAGAGGGTCAAATCATGGTTCTAATCAATTAGTAAAGCTTCAACATTACTGGATTGGGACCTGTAAACCAAGAGTACGCAATGCGCAATGACCTCGCAATAGTGGAGTCGAAGCAAAAAATTCACCATAGACATAATTAGTACAAACACCAAAATGGCCAGCTGACACAACAATAACCCATAATTAGTACTGTTTAATGTCCTGTACAATTCTTTAAGGGGATCCTGATCATTCAGATATCAGCCTCTCTTCAGCTTTGGGTTCATATCTCCGTATATATTGAACACCACCTGGACCGAGCACGAGGCCTGTACAAAGTGTTCATTTCAACGGCTTCATTAATTATCTCGATTTGGAGACAAGGTCGGATGGAGGACCCACCATAGCTTTATGACTTGCAGCAGAAGGAACGCCTTAATAATATTACTACATGATAGTTTCACCAGTAGCCCAAATAGTTTATTTAACAGCCATTGTTTTGCTAACTGTGTTAGCATCCTTAGGGATAGACTAAAACTGTTTCAATTAAGATTACTGTTTTAAACTTCCTCTAAAAACGCCTAACACTGTTGTAGTAATATTTGTTACGCCAAAAGATGCAACCTCACATATATCCTTAATAATATATTCTGATACGGCTCTCCTTATACATGTACCAAAATTATTTCAGGCAAGTAATAGAGCAAATGCATACGGGCGCTTGGAAAAAGCTTGCATGCTTCCAAGATCTTGGGTACCGTCAAATATGACTTCAACGAGTTCTTGACCAACTTTTGACGATATTTTAGAGACTTTTAGCATATAGTGACTCAATTAGTAACTTCTAAAGGCAGGTTAAGGGCTGCTTTTTTGGATGCATTACATCTCACAAACAAGGAGATGCAAAACGTAGTGGAGAGATAGAGACGAACTAAATTCCAAATTACATCTAGCCGATCCATTTTCTAAAATACTAAAAGATTTGCACAAAGGTTAAGTACTACGAGGGATGTTTCTTCAGTACTGAATCTTAACCTCACTCTTTAGTAAACCTAAATTCAAAGTTTCACAACAATACTACAGTGAATTTTTAAGTGTCACCAAGTCATTAGAAAAATGAAACTCAACCGAGAACATTTTCGCGCCATAATTTAGTAGAACTTTCAGAGACAATCGCAACAAGAATGCCTTGCTGAGTTACTGTCTGTTTTGGGCAACGAAGCGCCACATCAGTCGAAAATTTCCCGTTGGTATGGAGAATTCAAACGAGGACGGGTGAGTCTTAGCGACGATCCTAGGGTGGGTACACCAAAAACGGCATTCACCCAGGAAAACGTCGATGCTGTGCGCACACTCATCATTGGAGATAGACATGTGACATATCGCGAGATTGAGGCGTCTTTGAAGATCTCAAAGACCTCAATTCAAAAAAATTTACATGAAGAATTAGGAGTAAGAAAATTAGTTTCTCGTTGGATACCCCACTTGTTGACTGAAGAGCAGAAAGCAGCCAGGCTTAATGGTGTCAAAAAACGCTTGACCGTTTCAATTCTGGAAAGTCAAAAAATGTGTACAGCATTATTAGTGGTGATGAATCGTGGATTTACTGTTATGAACCAGAAAATAAACGACAGACGGCTGTTAGGGTGTTCCAAGGTGAAGAAAAGCCAACAAAAGTCATCCGTTCTCGAAGTGTTTCGAAAAAGATGGTCGCGAAATTTGTGTCAAAAGTGGGTCATATTGCAACAATTCCTCTTAATGAGCAAAGAACTGTTACCGCGGATTGGTATACCACCATTTGTTTGCCAAAAGTCATCACCGAGCTTTCGAAAAAACCCCGAAAGAAGAATCATCCTCTCCGCCAAGACAATGCAAGTCCGCACACAGCCCAAAAAACAAGGCAATATTTAACGGAAGAAAACGTGGAATTATTGGACCATCCTCCATATAGTCCCGATCCAAGTCCTAACGACTTCTTTACTTTCCCGAAAATTAAAAACAGACTGCGTGGTCAAAGGTTCCAGTCACCAGAAGAAGCAGTTGACGCATTCAAAAATGCGTTTTTGGATCTGCCAGCAAACGAGTGGAATAAGTGCTTCGAAAATTGGTTCGAGCGCATGCAGATGTAATCTTCGTGGAGAATACTTCGAAAAACAATAAAGTCGTTTAAAACTACCTACCGTGTTGTTTTATTTCCATATGCAAAACTTAAAAGACATCCCTCGTATAAGTACTAAATAAAAGTTGGATTTGGTCTGTCTAGATCAGAGGTTCCCAAACTTATATCATCTGCTGCCCACTTTGTGAATCAATTATTTTCTAGCGCCTTCTTCGAAATTGTTCAAGAAGATGTCCGCCTCGGACAGAGGGTTATCTGCGATTGAAAGTTAAATGAAAGTTAAAGAGCGGGGGAGGGCAGTGGCGGCGTCGTCTGCTTCATCAGTGCTTCTGAGAGTGAATATCCTTATGACATTGAAGAGGACCAAAGTTATCCATTGCAAACACTGCATATTTTAACAGAAAGAATTGATAATCGATGACCTTACCGAAAAGCGAATTCCCTTAGCTTGGAAGTTAGTGTTGCCTTTGATGCTACATAAGTGGACGGCTGTCAACACACCAAAGTATGAGTAAAAGTTTAACATCCATTCGTGTGGGGATTGCGCAAATAATTTGTACGTGTTGAATTGGTAACCAAAGTTGTCATATTTCTCTGTAAGATAAAACGAATTTATTTCTCCTATTTGGTATTACCTATTTCTGCAGGTGTTCACGACACGCGAATAAATTAATATTATTTGAAAATATCAGTTTATCGTTATCAGCTATCAAGTTATCATACTTATGAGCATTCTATATATAATCACAACATTAGAAAATAGTCTTTATTAACACTAGCATATAGCTAGTATATGCCACATCTCATGCATGACAATATTCAAGTCCCTATTCTTGCTGTAAACAGACGGAAAGAAAATGATCATTTTATTATTTACCCTACATAGTTTAAGTTTTAAGCTGAATATTAAAAATAAACCAGTTATGATTGAATATGAAAAATATTAATATTAATAATAATAATAAAATATTGTCTAATATCTACAATTTGAAAAAAACTGACTATATTCTTTTTTAATAAATGATCCTGATTCCTTTTCTATAGTAAAATAAGTCGTAAACTCGGTTGTAAAAATAAGGGACAAGAAATATCTAAGATTAGTTCCCTGACAAGGAATTTTATGATTCTTACAACCCATCTTAAATGGGTGGGCTGGCAGGTAGACATTTAGATGGAAATTCTAACCTGAACCTGAATTATGACAAATATGCACTGATCATCTTCACTAGGGCTCTAAACAGGCAACAGAAACTTGTGTTGCATAAAAAGCCTATTAAATCAACCCCTATCACGTACTATTTGCATACCATTATAGTTTTAAAAGTATAATAATGCTGAGAGTAAACCCTTCGGGCAAGTACAGTGTTGGATGTACCTGTCTAATTCTCACAGACTCATATTGTTTCCTAGGCAATCGAGTGGGCGACCTTTTTGAGGGTCGGAAAGGGAAAGGGAGACAGAACGGCATTCCCTATTCATAAAATCGATATTATGTTCAGCGTCGCATCAATTGCTGTTGCAGATAGGGTTGTTTTAGGGGCATGAAGGTCTTATGCCTGTTTCTATTGCATCTGCCCTTGTGCGTAGGTACACAGTTTTTAGAAGTATGTAATTATGTTTTGGTATTTCTTAATGCAGCGTGGCAAAATTTTGGAAGTAACAATTAAGGCCCTGAGCGCTAGTAGCCTAGCAACAGTCCTGGTTGCCCAGAAACCAGATGATGTCAAGGAAAATGAGAAAGGGAAAAAAAAAAGAAAAAAGGAGAAGAGCAAATAAAAACAGAAGTGTTTCTTTAAAAGGAAACATATGGGCTTTTTGGCTTGGTACACGGATTAATTTTGAGGTGAACCAAACAAGTTTTGATTCGGGTTTCGTTAGAGTGTAATTTTGATTTATTAGAGTTCGCGCTAATTTTTTATCACAATGCGAGCCGTGGCGTTGAATGTTTACCAACTTGCTCCACTGTGTAGTTCACTGAGTCACGCAACAGAGGGTTGCTGTGAGATTCCGCTTAACTAAACGTCGCTGCGCCTAAAGCTTAACATAATCCCTCAAGTAAGGAACGTCAAGGTTTCTGTTTAGTGTCTCATTTGAGACATACCATGGAGCGTTGCAAATTGTTCGCAAAGTTCTGCTTTGCAGTACTTGAAGACTTTGCATGTGTGCCTTGGCAAAGCCGCACAAACATGCATAAGTAATGACTGGTGTAATAATCATGTTATATAGTCGAACTTTGTTTATCAAACTAAATTTGGAGGATCTTCATAACAAAGGATATATTTGCCG